AGTTATGTCGTTTGTTTCCAAAAAAAAAAATGCCAGAAACCATGACGGATTCCAAGGGCAAACCATATGGTTTTTCTTGCCATGGTCCCACGACTCGCCAAAGCACCATTTTTCATGGGAAAATCCACTATTTCTATGGCCAAAATCACAAGTTTTAATGGGAAAATCCACTATTTAACTATGGGCCATGTTCAAGTTCGCAAACTGTAACAGTTTACCAGATAAACCTATGGGTAAACCTATGGTTTTCCTATGGTTTTCCTATGGTAAACACACCCATCTACCGTGGTCTGATCTTCGAAGCTGTTGAGTTCATCCCCTGTACCATGATGTGAAATTGAACCCGCTGCCGGGCCCCACGAATCGTAGGGTCACAAAAAAAAAAACGCCAGTTAGATTAATACACTGGAACTGGTGATCGGTATTAATACAGCAACAGCCTATCATGGGGATGGACATATCATGGATAATGATGGATAATGGATATTTAGTCTATTTACCATCTGGTTATTTAACAGTTTGCCATGGAAAATCACCATTTTTAATAGATAAACCCAGGTAAACCATCTATAAGTGGGCCATTTTCCATGGCTATGTTAAATAACCAGAGGGTAGAGTTAATATAAAAAATATCAGGCTATTGAGACAGTATAACTAATATGCATGTCCCATGACGGATCCATGGTGCTGCAATATATGGTGTGCCTGCAATATATGGTGTGCCATGGATCCCATCAATATACCCCCAACCTTTATGTTAGCATATATACTATATATACCAGCACCATGGATCCGTCATGGGATATGGAATATCCGTGAATATCCAAAAACAAATTGGGAAGAAATATGGGCTATGGGTCAAAATTAGGTACTCCAATAGTTGGATGGTGAATACTAAACCAGACTAACATCTGTGGTCCCCTAGGTCTTCCATTTTGACCCACATCCATATGGGCTATGGATGAAACTATAAACATTTATAAACCACGGATCCGATTCGTGGGGCCCTTCCCTATCGAAATCGGCATTGCCTCGGAGTCTTCCGACCGCATGGGCGTGAAATCTGCCCAGCCTGGCGGACGTCGCGTTTTACCGGGGGAAGCTCGTGAGTGATCCAAAAAATAAATAAAAATAAGATGTGGATTCTGTATATCTATATATATATATATATAAATCATTATAAATCTATATATATCTATATATATATAAATCTATATATCTATATATAAATCTGTATATATATATATAATTATATGACCATTCGAACTCAGAGAACTCACTGAAGTCGAATCTTGTTCAGACCTTAAATGACAAATTTTAACGATGATTTTCGGCTCCATTTTATGAACCCACATGTTTTTTGGGGGATGAAACAATAAATTATGACTTTGAGACTGCTTGACTTCTTGGTGTTTCACCACACTTTTTTCCCCCTTTTTTTTCATCCAACGATCCTACTGTAACAACTCACCTACTTACAGCTGGGGTGAACTAAGCCACTGGGGGGTAAATCACCAAGAATTGCCCTGTGGATATGGCATGGTCTCAAGCCAGGGACCCCCAGATGGGATAGAGCAAACCAACACCCTGCAACTCCACTTGAAAAATCTTTGAACTGTTTGCACTAGTCTGCATTTTCTGTTGAAACGTTCAAAACATTCCATGTGTCTGCCAACCCTCGGTTCAAAAAAATAAAGCACCAACAAGCGCGTCATGACGCTCTCGCTTCAGAGCAGGGTACACGAGGCCCTTGCATGTCTGCAACGCCTCCAAGATGTCCGAATTAGGAATGTCACGGGCCTGAACGTCAGGATGGGTAGCTTGCTGTCGGAGCTGGTCAACAAGCCCTTCCTTTGCCTTTGTTTCCTGCTCGTGGATCTCGTGGACCATCGTCAGCCGCTGGCTCTGGAGTCGGCTTGGACTTGGCTTTCCCCTCCGCGCTGGCCGTTTGATTCACCTGGGCCAATTTGAGACCAGAGGCGACGAGAACGGATGCTCTCCATTGATGGCATCACGAATTTCTTGGTTATGTCAGTAACATAACATCATGACATAACCAATAATGTTAAATTGATAGGCAACATATCCTATCTATGATACTGACATGATGTTATTAATCATTATCAATTATAATTAAGGATAATCATCACTATGTCCCTATCATTGATGGTTATTCAAAAGCGACATAGAATATCATATAATATCGCTTGTTTTGTCCTTATTTCCAAGCAAACGCCATATCATTTGCCACAGCTTTACCATACTGCCTGTCTGAAAATGCGGTATATCCCAAAATGGCAATTTCTCTATAGAAATGACTGCCTACGCAGATGGAATGGGCTAGTCTATTAACAAGACACAACCACCTACAAGGTGGTACCCCCAAATGTGATGTTTGTTGGTTTATGATCCCCATGAAAACTAGGTCGATATAACCCCCATTCATCAACCCTAGATTAATTGGACTTATTTGCACCAACTTAGCGTGAACAGCTCCCTGGGGCACCAGCGTAAGTATGGCTTGGTCCCATTAAAAAATGGCAGTTTTGAGGTCATGGTACCTTTGTGACGTGGATGATCACATCCAAAAAACACCAAGTTGCTGATATATGTTGCATATATCATTAATGGGATATATGATGATATATGGGATATATGATATATGATATATTATATATCACTCATATGAAATATCCCATTAAGATTCAATTCAAAAATATGTATATCCCAAAGAATATCCCCAGCTAAAAATGGCTCCCGACATGACGCGCGCCTTTCCAGCCGGCCATGACCTTCATCTCCTGGCGCTACCGTGAAATGTGGATGGGTCAAATTTTAAGCCCCAGGACCACAGATTGAATATATATATATATACCATCTGGTTATTTAACATAGCCATGGAAAATCCCTTATAAATGGAGGTATTAGTGGGAAAATCATCTATAAATGGGCCATTTTCCATGGCTATGGTAAATAACCAGAGGGTATATTTACCATTTATGAGGGTCCATCTATATTTATATGAGGCTTTCTTAATAAGATCTATATGGTGTTTTGTATTCACCATCTACTATGACTGAGGCTTTCCATAAATGGGGTTACCCCATAAAATGGATGATAAAAATAATGGAAAATCGGAAAATTGCATTAAAATGGATGATTTAGGGGTACCCCCATTTATGAAAACCATATAGCCCTATGAAACCATTGGTAAAATAGAAAAACCACTAGGAAAGTTATATTGCCCTATGGTTCCCATTGCTGCAGGGGAAACTTATTCGATAACTTGTCCATACTTGTCCAACATGTGGAAACCATGGTTTTTGAAAAAGAATAACCGTTGGTAATTTAACATAGCTATTGAAAATGGCCATTTATAGTGAGTTTTCCCATTAAAAATGGTGATTTTCAATAGTTATGTTAGTTTACCAGAGGGTAACCGTTGGAGCTACCCTTCGGTAAACTAACAGCTTGCCTGGAAAATCACCATATTTCGTACGACGTAAATCATCGAACTTTGGCTGGGCCGCTTCAAAAAATGTTCGTTTCGTGGAGGGTAACCAAAGATAAAAAATGTCCAATCTTAGATAGCCTGCAAAAGTTAAGAAAAATCTTTGAAGTAGCTGGTGAACCTAGATTCTAGATAATCCCATTGATACCAAAAGACAATTTTGGATTAGTTAAACTACCCATCTTTCAGATTGACCCAACCACCTGCTTTTCGATTCGAGTTTTCACCCCTTGGAGCCCCCACAGACCAGCCAGCCACGCAAATGGGCGTCACAAAGCTGACCTGGCACGGAAAAAGGCTGCGCTCAAAAAGCGATGCCACGCAGCTTTCTCCAGCTATGGCTGGTTGATGATGTAAAAACAGCAGCTAGTGACTAGTGATTTAATGCTGGTTGCTGGTGCAATGTGCCCATCTTGAAAAATCATGGAGTTCGTCAGTTGGGAAGGATTAATTATCCCATATATGAAATGGAAAATATTTTCTAGCCATGTTTGAAACCACCAAGCAGTGATTGTTCATGTGACCCACGACTCATAGAGGTGGTACTTCCGCTGCCGAGCTGCCAATTGATCAAAGTTCACATGAACAGGTGACTTTTTAGGTGAAATTAGGTGAATTAGATCATTGATTCAATAAGTGAAACCTAATTACAGTAGATCATTGATTCAGATACTAAATTGGATATAGATTCAATTAAGTTCAATGAACTTGGAATGAAGAACTGAATCTATATCCAATTTAGCTACGAATACGATGAACTAGCTGATGTTTTAGCTGAATTCGATGATCAAAATTTGCAGTTACCAATTAGACAACCAGGAAGCCCCAATGATGTTCCAATGGTTATATGAATACATATGAGATTATATAAGTATATACTGTGGATTCATGTTCAACCCCAAACTCCAAAGAGGTCGCAGATTTTCCCAGTGCCATGGATGGAGTCTGCTCAACTGGTATCCATATCCTATGAATAAACATCCACGAGATATTCATATATACATACCCATAGGATCCATGTATGGTATATATGCTAACATTGGGGGTATATTGATGGGATCCATGTTACCATATATAGCAGCACCACGGATCCGTCATGGGATATGCATATAATATACTGTATTAATAGCCTAATATTTTCTTATATTAACTCTAAATATACTATAAATATATCCATTATCCATGATATGTCCATCCCCATGATAGTTGCTGTTGCTGTATTAATACCGATCGCCAGTTCCAGTTCCAGGGCTGGTACAAGCAGGGTGGTTAAAAGGGCATATTTTCATGTCTAGACATATGGGATTGTAACCTCCAAAGTTGGGATATTCAACTAAAGTGTTATACAGTTATACCTTTTATAACCATATTTATAAACAGATATTCAGATATTCAGCTAAATTTATAATATATATATATATATGTACATATATGTATAACCCGGTAGTAGAACTGCACCCCAACATGATATATATCTCCCATTGCTGCATTACCCACATTCTCCGGCACCGATGTCACAAGGCACTGATGTCTCAGTGAAATTCACCATGGACACTTCCACGGGTCCGATGAAGACCTGCGCGGCGAGACAACGCCAGACCGGAGGCTTGCTCGGGCTTGAGCACCTCACCAGGAATCGGAAGTGGCTTATCAACCCAGTTTTTTGATGCCTGGCTCAGCCGGCCCCGGCAAAAAATGACACATTCTTAGCTAGTTCATAGATAATCCCAAACCAAAAGACAATTTCGGATTAGTTTTCTGGCCATCTTTCAGATTGACCTAGGTTATAAGTGGGTAAGTAAGGTTAGTCCACTTGTTACTGGGGTTATATATAACCCAAAAAAACTGACTATGGGCTTCACTACCACGGCCCGGAATTACAAAAACTGGGTTTGTCCAAAAATGGTGGGACAAGAACCATGGGCTGTTTGGACAATTACCCTCTGGTTATTTAACAGTTTGCCATGGAAAATCACCATTTTTCAGTTCGGTAAACCATCTATTTCTATGGGCCATCTATACCATGGCTATGTTAGTCATAACCAGAGGGTAACTATAGTGTGGGGTTTATAAACCAACGATGACTTATCCGACTGATAGTTCTACCAACCATCCCAATGGGGTGCGCGCTTGGGCTCTGCGGAGGTTTTTCCTGTCCAGCGTCAGTGCCTTATGTCCAGCAGCTATGGGTGGATTTTTCACCGAAAATTGTTGCGGGCACGGAACAGACCGAGCTTTTTTTATGAGGATATGTTAGATATACAACAATATCTGGTTGATGGTTTCAACCTACCCCTCCGAAAAATGATGGAGTGAACGTCAGTTGGGATGATTTTTCCATTCCCAAACTGTTTCTGGAAATATAAAAAATCCAGCCATGTTCCAGTCACCAACCAGATATGTTCCATGGCTTTCCCAAAAATGGGATACAGAAACCCATCTGGCCATGGGGATGATGACTCCTCGGATGGGGGGTTCCCGGCACCCAATGCCTGGTATGTTTACCAGGCCGGGGAATCCCCAATGTTTTGGCGAAGTTAAAACATGTGAAAAAAACACCATGTGGCTGGTTAAATCTCAAGTTTCGTAGAAAAATCCCTATGTTTATCTATGTTTGTTGGTCGAATCCACATGTTCGATTTGTTTAAACCATCATGTGAATCATGGTTTTTTCTCACCACTTTTATACTTTTAATCACCATCGTTTCAAATCGTGGTTTTACAGTGAAAAACCACCATTTTTGATGGTTGAAGCACCATTTTTGAGGGTTAAGCCATGACTTTTGATGGTTGAACCATGTTGACCCTGTGATTTTGATGATCAAACGCTTCACCCACCTGAACGTTGTCGATCTCATCGAAGTTCCGTACCCACAAAGTGACCACGGCCCCCTCCGTGAAGTTCGAGGACGCCTCGGCACCGGGACTTCACCGGGAGATTGGATTGTGACATCCATGAAACCTTGACACATTATGACACCATACGGGCGAACATGGGTAGCACATTGTTAATATATGTTTTTATATACCCCCCAGTCATAGCTATTAAAAAACATAGGGAAAATGATAATGACCATTGATGAAAATGGAGGGCTACCTCTAATTTTCAGACAAAGCCATACTCCGCAACAATCAACCAACAAGGGTCGACAACTGCCCAGTTGAATAGCACTCCGTATACTGACTTGTCCTTTGAGTACGGGTTGTACTGCTGTCATGCGGGGGTTCCTTCCTGCTATCCTTCCTGCTATGTCCCATACGCGATACGAATAGAAGTTTTGAACTCAGCTGATGTTCCCTCCATGTACTGTAAAAAAAAAAAATGTCCTCCAAAATCCATTCCACTTATATCCACTTATCACCGCTTATTACCACTATGTCCAATTCTTTAGCTATCAGACTATCTCCCTGTTTCTTTTACCGTGAAAAATCATCCAAATCCCCATGAATTTCCAGGCTGTGAGATTTTGGAGCGTTGGCCGTGCATAAACAAATGGCTATGGGTCAGCTCCAAGAATTAGATGGTTAATACGAAACATATACTAAAATCTGTGCCCATATTCCAGAAAAAACTTCCGGTATAGGTGAAAATCCCACTGCTCGAAGGTGAAAACCAATCTTCCGGCACACGAACAGCCGACGCGTCAACTCGGCATGGTGCCACGTCTTCCAGTTGCCTTTGTACTTGGGAGCCATCAACCACTCTAGCGCAGTGCCGCGGCCAACAGAATGCGCTGTGCTCAGAAACGTCGACGCCTTTGGCGTCCTGCCGGTTCTTGGGGACAAGCATCTTAAATACGGCAAAACCTGCCCGGAGCACCCGGTCCGATGTTTTTCAGCCATCCGCAAGCACAATGAACATAATGAACCTGAGGCAAGCAGGGTAGCTGCCTAACATGATTCTCAACTTCCACAACATCATTGAATCCCCAACCGGAATCTCCTGATCGACGACCGGTGGTTGATCTGAATTTTTTGGGCACCCCTAAATCCCGTGGGGTTACTGTGAACACAAGAACACAATCCTCATGAAAATTGCCATAGGATATCTCAGGTGATACCAAACAATCTCAGCCTTCAACCCATACAATCGACCTATCATGTCTGGTGAATCCCTACTTTTGCTCATTAATCCACGATTTTTCTTGGTTAAACCCCCTGTTTCCATGGTTAAACCCGGCAGAATTTAACACTGACCACCTGCAGGAAATTCCTCTGGGCCCCTGCACCACACCATCCACCAAAACCTGCTCGACACCTGAGGGTCCATGGTGGAAAACCACTCAGGGACTAATATAAATGTATGATTGAGTACCAATTATATTCATAGAATTGATTATCAAAATTATATCTATGTATACATGATTATACATGTATATTGAGTAGCGATATATTCATAGATTTAAGCACTTGAATAATCATATAGTTTTTTCATCCATAGATGGGAGAAGCCACGAATTAGCGACGAACCCGATCAACAGGGTTATGAAGCAGTTTTTTTCACTGGAATGATCTCAGCCCCAAATGGTAAATATGGGAAAATAGAGGTACCAATAAGTGGGGCTCTCACGGGAATATAGGGGAATTAAGACGAAATAGTGGAATTAAGTATAGAAACTTGGATTTAATAGGGATCTAACGAAGAAAAAATGTGGTTTACCGCTGTAAAATAGAGGATAACGGAAGTACAATTAAATCCCAATGGATTCAATGGAGTATATTGGCTCATCCCAGGAATCCTTAGTTGCAACCCCAGTTAGAAGTATGGTAAGTAGGGTGAGTCCAATCATAGCTGGGTGAACTAATCCACTTACGGAGTGTAAAGAACCGCCAAATAGTATAAAATCCACAAAAACAAAGGTACAAGGGGGGTACCCTCTGGTTATTTAATATAGCCATGGGAAATGGCCCATAGAAATAGATGGTTTACCTAGCTATAAAATGGCGATTTTCCATGGCTACGTAACAAATCACCAGATGGTATAATTTTCCGATCTGATTCTGGCTGATGTTCTTAGTTCACGAAGCTGAAAACCAGCTTTCAAAAAGTGACATCGCGACGTGAGCTCCGTCAGAAAAATTTGTGAGTTTCATCATGAAAAATGGATGAAGCCCTGAGAAACCCATGGTCTAGGATTGGATCTACGAATAAACTGATATGGGTATGGATCAATACCTATAGATACCATTTTTAGTGGGATGAACATCCATTTACCAGCTATTTTGATGTTCACCAGGGGTACAAGGTTTTGACACACTGCCATATTTTTGCGGTCCCTTGGTGTTTTTCCCACTAGGCAACTCCTCCATGGAAAATCCCATCAGATCCGTCATGAGCCAGCAATCATTCGGCAAGTTGGGTTAGAGGCGACTTATGCTGGAGAAATCTGGAGTTCAATGGGGCTGTAAAGCAAACTCAGGGGGCCCAGACGTGTTTTATGAACCTAACCCCTACGTCCCGTGATCGCCAGTTGGTTGTGGCCTCCAGGGGCTGAATTTGAAAAACCATAGCTATCTCCAGGCTGATGGGCATTGAAGGCGATGTGCCGTCAAGGTACATAGGAGAAGTGGATATCAAAGCGCTATGTTTACTGGTTGGTGGTTTTAACCATCTTGAAAAATATGAGTTCGTCAATGGGAAGGATGACATCCAATGTACTATGGAAAATGAAAAATGTTCCAAAGCACCAACCAGTTTATCTAAGTGGTGGTTGACCTACCCCCCCGGAAAAATGATGGAGTTCGTCAGATTGGATCATCATCCCAACTCTTGGGGAAAATACCCTCTGGTAAACTAACGTAACTATGGAAAATCACCATTTTTCATGGGAAAATCCACTATAAATGGCCATTTTCAATAGCTACGTTAAATTACCAGAGGGTAAAAGCCATGTTCCAGCCACTCCATCCCCTTCGGGAATGCCAACCAGTTATGGGTCCCCTTATGAATTTCTGAATGTTTCTTAGCACCACCTCACAACGAATGGGTTCATCTTCCCACCGACTTTTGGCAATGAAGAATTTCCCAAAAAAGATGAGTTTCCCATTGAAACCTCCATTCATAAGGGAATTGCCCATTGCCATGTTTGATTACCAAAGTGTATCTCGCATTTTTTTCTGATGACCCTGCTGTCAATGAAATTTTAAGCCATGCAGCGACCCGACTTCCTTAGTGCTGAAACAGTTTGGCCACCATGTAATTCGCTTCAGGATGATGTGCAATCTGTCCAGAAAATCCTATCTCCTTAATAATATATAGTTCCACCCCGCTCAAATGGTCCCAAATATGTGTAAATTCCCTGCCAAGCCATTTCTGGGGAGGGGTGGGATTACAATATCATCCACCAAACATTCAACAAGGGCGGAACCACCGACCCCGTCCTGTGGAAAGCCTCATCCGCATGCTTCGTGAGAAGAAATGAACTATTCAGCAGATTTCTTCAAGTGAGACAAAGCCATTGTCTTGTTGTCTTCTGGCTTGTTGTGCTGGCACATTTCAAAAAAACTTGACACTTCACAGCCCCTAACCGTACCCCAACAGTTAAGCGGCACTGAGCTTTCCACCGTAACTTATCCAAGTAATGTTAGTAGAAGTGACTTAGTACTGGTGATTATATAGGTGATATATCTATCAATAACTATGGTTTATAGGTGATATATCTATAGCTGGTTGGTGCAATAACTCACTAGTAAACCATCTCCAAATTTACCGTAAAATAATGGGATTTTGGGTGGGATTCCAACCATCAAAATATGGTCAATTTCCCCGCGGGGTGAGGGTACCCCGTTGATCACTAGTTCGTTATGTGCCCCATAAACCCCATATTTCAACAAGTCAAGTTAGTCAAGTTAGCTATCATCTATCATCCACTACAAATCCATCGAAATCAGCCATATGTATCCATATGTTTGTTATGTTTGTTGCTATAAAATCACCATGTTTCCTATATCCAATGATTTGCCCATGGGAAAACCCACAGGAAAACCCATGGTAACCGAGGCACTGGGCTGCTGCTCTGGCGCGAGGTAACTGAAGCCGAAGGCCGTTTGGGGCTCGAAGCCTCGTTCGTCGTTTGTCGGGGTCAACAAGGGATGGATGCTGCACTCGGTACGTCTACAGAAAGAAGAAAAGGGTGGAAAAAAGGGTGGTGAATGGTTTTTTTCATGGGTTTTTCAATGGTTTTCAGGTGTTTAATTGGCTTTAATGGTTTGTTGATGGGTTTTGAAACGGTTTCCGGTGGATTTGGGACCATGTAAGAGGACTTGGCAGGTGTCTCTCTCAAACTGCATAAACCTGATGGATTGCCACCAGCCCAAGAGGGGCCAGTCTCCATGATCTCTGCCTGTCGCCAAGGGGCCAGTCTCCGAAATTTCGTCCAAGATATCCAGGCCGGGTTCGTAAATGCCTCGGTTTTTGTTACACTTGGTGACTACCCTCTGGTTATGTCAAAATAGCTATTGAAAATGACCATTTATAGTGGATTTTCCCATTAAAAATGGTGATTTTCCATAGTTATGTTAAATTACCAGAGGGTAATCCCACGAATTTCAAGTGAGTCATAACCCTACTTTTTAGATCGAGGTAGATCTAAGGGCAAGTAGGCTGCGCCCAGGAATCGAACTAGGGTTAGAGAGTCACTCAGCAGGGCACTGGTAGAACGAGGTTTATCAGAAGAATCCAAACTGCCTCAGAAAATGGATCCAGCAACATGCCTTGAAGGCGGTAAATCCAGCTATGATATGCGTCTATAGTTAGATGGCATTCCAAGACTTACCGGGAACCGGCCCCTTTCTGTAGATCTTGTAGGTTGCTGGGAAAAAAACGCCTTTCCTGAGGTGTTTCATTGGATCGAAGACATCTTCCTTCCAAGGCCACATAAATCCTTGAAGCGGCAATTGGTCAAACAAAAAGGTCACGCTTCCCCGGCTGCTTCACCCCGCAACCAAGGTTTGCCCTCAAACCATGCGACTGTGTATGAGAAAGGGAAATCCACAAAAAATTGTGGGTGTTGTAAAGGTAAATCATCTAGAAATATGGTCCATTTTCCAGTTCGCAATTCTGTCAGTTTACCAGAGGGTAAATCCATAGTCCTTTTCCCATTGGCGAGTTAATTAATAGAGGGGTTTGAAGAAACCCCTTTAACAACAGGTAAATGATGATAGATGGTATACCAATCACTGGCCCCTCTATTTTTACCAAAAGGACATGATTGGTAATCATTCTTGGTAAACTAACATAGTAACAGCTATTGAAAATGGCCCAGTCGAAATAGTGGATTTACCCAGCTATAAAATGGTGGATCTTTCCAGTTCGTTATGTGAACGTTTACCGGAGGCTATTTTTCCCTATTTTTTGCTGATTGGATCACCAGGAAGTTTGCGAGTTGAAACCAGGTCGCTGAGATTGACCGCATCCTCCGGCACCATGAAGGCATCTGCCAAGGAGGACGCCAAGGTGCTGGTAATGTCCAACCTGGGGCCATGGCCGACGCGTCGATGGAACACGATGACTTCAGAGAAACTGTCTGTTTGCCATAGGAAAACCATAGGACACCATAGGAAAATGGAGGTTTTTACCATCTGGTAACTTAACAGTTTGCTTTTGAAAATGGCTAGTTAATTATAGTTACGTTTACATAGATATTTAATGATATCTATATAGTTTGATATGAAATTGATGTGAAACATCCCCAGTTGCGGGGCTTACAAATGGTAGATGCCAAACAACTATGGAATGGCACGTGCAGGTTCATCACGGGGAAGTCTGTTCAGTTACAGCCTTAGTTGGAAAACCAATTACCCGAGATGAACCACCAACTACATTGACATAGTTGGAAATAAATGAAAATTTCTGACCAACAAGATGACTTTAGAGCGCAAGTCTCCAAGAAATGTGGTGATGTCACTTTCACAATGGGGATTTAACCAGCTGACATGGTGTGCCCTTAGCATGTGAAATCAACACCAAAAATGTGGAAAGTTTCTTGGGTGTGCAGACCGGTGGAACTTATCGCCTCAAACTACAGATATATCAATCATAAGACCTAGTAAACCAAGCAGTTATAAATTGGTTCACGCGAACCAATCTTACTATGGCTATAGTCACCAAAGCCTAGTAACCCCCCCTCCAGTTACAAGTTGATGATGAACATAATCAAGCCATCTTCCTGAAAAATCGCCAATTCACCTTAGTTCCCAGCAACTTCACTAAGGGCCCCTTCCCGGCTTTTCAGCGACAGGCAGCTTCAGGACTTCAGGCGTCTCCACCAAGCCAAAGCGACCATCCGTCACGTCCATGCCTGGCCATCCGTAAGGTGCCACGGGAAGGTGAACCCTAGGTGAACTGTTGGCTGAACTTGGGGATATAACGAACTAGCTAGGTGGGGTTATGAACCAACAAACATAACGAATGTGGGCCCTTCCTGTACTCAAACATTTGAAATCTCCCACATGTTTGGAGTGGGAAAACACCGATGGGCAGATTTCCATGTTTGATTACAAGAGGGTGAACATCATGTCGAACCGCAAGACCCCTTTTTTCAAAAAGAAAAGTGAGAACAAATATATATATACATACATACATATATGTATATATTATATACCCTCTGGTTATTTGACATAGCTATGGACAATGGCCCATTTATGGATGATAAACATCATGATTTACCCTTTTTTATTTAATGGTGGTATTTTCCATGGCTACGTTAAATAACCAAAGGATACCAAAGGATATATATATGTGATATATAAATGATGTTTATCGAAGCAGTTGCCATGTGTTTCACCACTAACGTGGTAAAACTTTGAGAAAACATCGTTTTTCATCCGAAGACCGATGAGATGTGTATCTACCACCGTGATGTGACCGTTGCTTGATGAAGCATAAATGTTGTTGGTGAATTTCGATGGTTTTTTTTTGGTAGATATTTATAGATATTTCACGAACTAGTTAAGGGTAGATAAATCATGTACACCCAGTTCTTTGATTAGGTAAGTACTTCGAGAATGTTCGATATATCATGATTATTCATGATTAATATCTACCATAAACATCCACCATAATTAATTGGCTTTGATATATCTACCAAATTCCACCATAATGTTTGATATATCTAATTACCATAAACATCCATAAACATCCATAAAGCATCACAAAGTTATTGGAGGGCCGCTGTCGATCTCGCGGCTCCACAGTCGACCTGGCCATACCTGGTTTCTCTGATCCGAAACGCAGTGCAACGGTCTTCCGATCGGCGATCTGCGTCTATAAATGTCGCGTTATTATGCGTTATTATTCCATGGGTCATTAAATGTCCCATTTTGGGAATATTGGACATCACCTTATAGTAGCCATTATAGACCATATACCATTCATGGTTGGGTGATGTTCAATGGGGACATTTAATGACCCATGTATTCATTGGGATACGTGACTTTATTTGACAGAAAGGGACGCCCTCAGGGTGCGAAACTTTTCACTCTTCTCTTAAACATGGATAGTTTTTGCTTGGCACATCTGCAATGGCTATGTCAATACTCTACAACCATTGACAATAAAATCCTGGCATCTCTGCAATGGCTATACCGAACACAAAATTTAAAGGAAACAAAACAATAAAAAGTAAAAACAACATGACAAGACCCAACACTCTGCCACTAATTACTACCCCCTTGGGTTGTGATGGGTTGTGCATGTTTTTTTTTGTTTCGTGGTTTTTGTTTTTTTTGTGTCTTGGTGGTTTGAAGGGCCGGCAAAACAGGAAAAATTCCGTAGGACCCAATCCCTTGCCACTGCTTCCCCCTTAGGGTTTGCAAATTTGTGTGGGTCTGCGGTTTTATTTACCCCCTGCTAAACTAACATAGCTATGGAAAATCACTATTTTATAGCTGGCTAAATCCACTATTTCTATGGCCATGTTCCAGTTCGCTATTTTGACATAACCAGAGGGTATCATTGGGGAAAGCTCAAAGTATAAACCAACTTAGCTATCGGGCACCTTGTAGGTAGATGATGTGAATCCCCAACGAGTGACGCCCAGTTCGAACTGGGTGTCAGTCCCTTGACCCACGCATCATTGATGAAATATCTTCATGTCCCAATGAAATCCCCATATTTGGCTGGAGAAATTACCAATCTGGTTGGTGGTTTGAACCATCTTGAAAAATATGAAAGTCAATGGGAAGGATGACATCCCATATATGAAATGGAAAATAAAAAAGGTTTGAAACCACCAACCAGCAATATATTGCCAGTTAAGTGCCAGTTTTCATCACTGGAACCCAATTTCAGTTGATGCTGACATGCCAAGTCTTCGTCATGTTTCATGATTACCAATAATGTCCCTTTGGTAAAAAAATAGAGGGGCCGGTGACTGGTCTGCCATCTATCATCATTTACCTGTCGCTAAAGGGGTTTCTCCAAACCCCTCTATTCATCAACAAACCAATGGGAAAAGGACATCTATGGATTTACCCTCTGGTAAACTGACAGAATTGCGAACTGGAAAATGGACCATATTTCTAGATGATTTACCTTTACAACATAATGAAGATAATCCAATATATCTGGTTGGTGGTTGAGCCCTACCCCTCTGAAAAATCATGGAGTGAACGTCAGTTGGGATCTGTGAAATTCCCAACTGAATGGAAATTCATAAAATTCATGTTCCAAACCACCAACCAGCCATTATTACTATATAAATCACCATTTTCCCATCGTTTTCCCATGGTTTTCCCATGGTTTTCCCAACCACCAAACCACCAACCAGATGGTGATTTCCCTCCAGCAATCAAACAAGGCAATGGACAATCCCCCGATGTAGTTCGATGTTTTTCCCGGCATGGCTGGTTCGTTCAGGGAGACTCAAAAAAGCGGCCACGTTTGATGACACCGGAAGGTAAGTCCCCATACTAGTCCCCATATACCCTCTGGTAAACTAACATAGCTATTGAAAATGGCTATGTATAGTGAATTTTCCCATGAAAAATGGTGATTTTCCATAGTTATGTTAGTTTACCAGAGGGTAATCAATTACTGTATTCACAATCACTTCCATCAAGTTATGGTTCTATATCCCCATCATATCCCCGTTATTTTGGGGACTTTATCAATTTTCTGGGGAATACTTGTAAAATGAAAGTATTTCAATCATGATACCCCATGAAACATCCCAATTATTAGGGATTATACTAATACATTGCTAAGTACAATCATGATAATCCCCCAAACTAATCATCAACCAACAGGGGTTTTGAACACTGCACATATACTATTCACTAGTTAAGGAGATATATAACCATGTAATCAAGCTAATGGGGGAATACGGCTAGTTTAACTTCCAGCAACTTGTGTTTGTACAAAAATAACATGAATTGAGATTCCATTATATCCATCAATATTCCCCATTGTTGCCCTCTGGTAATTTAACAGTTTGCTATTGAACATGACAATTAAAATAGTTGATTTACCGAACTTCAAAATGGTGATGTTCCATAGTTTTTGTATGTTTACCAGAGGGTAGGGACTTTTTGAATTCAATTTTCATCACCCAGAAATCTGGAGCAAATCTGGGTTGATTCATGTTGATCCCCGTCCAGCCAAGTGCAGCCTTCATCGATACCTTCCAGAAGGTCGTTGTAATACCAGCCTGGAGAATGGCGAAAAACAAGTGCTATCTCAATGAACATCTGGATTAGCAGCAGGGATTTCATGAGTTCCTGAAAGAGTTCCGGAGTATCAACAGATTTTTTTTCGGTGCATCAACGACGATCTGACTACAAAAAGGTGATGTTTTAAGGTTTTTCCGCCCAGGAAATCGCCGGGACCCCGCTGCAACGAGGAGAAAGGGATCCGGATATGAGTCAAACAAAGAATGATTGGTGGCTTTAAGATGCTAAAAAAGTGGATCCGGGCCCTTTTTTTTTCGTAACTTTGAATCCCCTTTTCTTCTTTGGAACTTCACCGGAAGTTCACATGGTTACTGGTTACTTGTGGGACCAGCTATGAAAAGTTTCAGAGTTGGACAACGGAATCCCGGAATCCCGGCAACCTCAACTGCTTGGTGGTTTTTCGCCCTACCCCAACCTGAAAAATCATGGAGTGAACGTCAGTTGGGATCTGTGAAATTCCCAACTGAATGGAAAGTCATAATCCAGCCATGTTCCAAACCACCAACCAGTTTAACTTCTGATGCAGCGAGTTGACCTGGGGATTTAGCCTCTGGTAAACGTTTACAGTTTGCGAGCTTGAAAATGGCCATGTCGAAATAGTGGATTTACCCAGCTATAAAATGGTGATTTTCTATAGTAAATATAGTTATATCTACCATAAACCAAAGAATTCCCCAAGTTACATATTCCACTAAAAATGTCCATTTTCCATAGCTATGTTAGTCATTACCAGAGGGTAGCATCACATGACTTACCAAACGTGCTGATCCACAGGTCTTGGACGCTTCTGCCAGGGAAAGGTGGGCCTGTGACTGGTTAGCTGGTTGCGGTAGGTTGCTGGTTTCAGCCCCCCAAAAAAAAGTGACAAGTTGGATCATCCCGACTGTAAATAGCTTTGGAACATCAAAAAAATGTTTGAAATCACAGAGCAGATTTGATTCGATCCCGAAAAAGTGGTTCAAAACCCACTGAAAACCCCGGTGGGAGCCACCTGGGTTCTTGAACATCAGGCCACAATGACATCTAAAGCCCTCAGCCGAAAGGTGTGAGGAGCTTAACATCCCAAAAACGGGAATGACGTGCCAAGGGAATGACAGATAAATATCTATAAAAGAAGTCCTTGGATTCCAAGTATAACATTGTGTGACTTAAAAGGTCATTGGAATCCAAGTGGCTCATTCTAATCTTTTTCAACAGTTCCTTCTTGTGGGGATTCCAATGTAGGGAACTGCTGATAGCCCCTCTGCTGGATTCGTGCCGACCAGTTTTAAGGCTCTCCAACAGGTGGGAAAACATGGCGAGCCAAGAGGCGCCTTTGGTTGAGGTTGTCATGGCCATGGGATGGTGACACCAAGTTATACCGACGTTTCTGATTGATCACATTTACCCTCTGGTTAAAAAAAAAACATAGCTATTGAAAATGACCATTTATAGTTGATCTACTTATTAAAAATTGTGATTGTCCATGGCTATGTTAAATAACCAGATGGTAACTTCTGAATCTTTGCCAAATATTGCCCATCCGCAAGTGTAGCTTGTCTTCGCATATGCTGATTCCATGCCGTCTGGATGGTTGATGATAATTCTGAAACCTCTTTCGTTGAGCCATTCGTGAGTCCCCTATATGTACAGTGTGTATATATATACAAGGTTGTGCCCCCCAAGTTATAAATTGGTTACAAGCCCATTAACTATAGATATATAACCTATAAACCATAGTTATTGGAGTTAAAAACCAACTTAGGTATCTTTGGGGGCACCACCTTGTATATGATTGTAATTGATCATACATATCAGCTTACGAGCCGTCCTCCTTTGTGGGGATTTAGCCACCATAACAATGTACAGCATCCGAACACCATGGCCCCATTCCTGACGATCCAAGAAGCACTGCCCCAGAGACACCAGAAGTCATAGATCTCCTGAGAGGAAATCGACTGGTTTACAGCTCGAGATAGGTAGAAAATCACCGCTGTCAAGAGGTACAAGGTGGTGCCCCAGTTCGTTAGCTAAGTTGGTGCAAATAACTCCCATAACTATGGTTTATGGTAGATATATCTACGTACACTTGCTATGGTTTATAAGCCAACTTATAATGGGGGGGCACCATCCTGTAGGTAAAACAGCTGTGATAAACATGGCATGGTGGGAAGTGGGAATCTCAACCATCTTTTCGAGGAATCGCCAGAAATCCGCGCAAATCATCGCGGTGTTAAGCAGTGACCTCGCATTTAACTTGAGAACTGCTTCCATGGTTTGTGATCAATCGGTACCCTCCGGTAATTTAAGAGTTACATCAGAGTCTGACTGAAATCAACTTAAACGATAATCTAGAATCTAAATGTTTTGCCAGGAACCATCATTTGCAGGAACCCTTACAAGTAGAATCAATTGGAAATGCTGTTCCAGGATGTTGCAAATGATATCTATAATTATCTATGTAAGTCATTTCATCATTAGTCCACTTTTGCATTCGGGGTTGCGGCAAAATTATTGCCGGCTGATTTAAGGGAACAAAGGAAAGCGTCACCATGGCCAACCTTAGATACCCAAAAAATAAGAACAATTCTTAGCTGGTGAACGTAGATAATCCCATTGATACCATAAGACTATTTTGGATTAGTTAAAGTACATGTTTCTAAACATCTAAGATCATCCCATACCAATGATTGGCCCAATAAAAAACTCACCTTGGACGTTACATGATGGAGATATCTAGGTAAATTACTACAATTTTCAAGTTGGAAACATACCCCTTTTTTGGGGTGGTTTGTTATCAACCTTCATTTTGGGTGTGCCTGGAAATGGGGTATACCCCCAAAATCGCAAGTTCAAGGCGACAAGTGATGTTCTAAACCATATGTTGTTCTTCTGTTTTTTCCCTCATGGCAGTGAAACAATCTAATGTATCTTCCCACTTTTAGTTCGTATTCCCGCAGAAAAGGAGGATTTCGGGGTACCCAAGTTTAAGAGATATGTATGTATATGTGTATATATATATATGTATATATATATATATGGGAAATCAATGGAAATCCAGCATATAAAATTCAAACCTAACATACCTTATCAAAAACCAAATCAGAAACATATCCAATTAGAGGTGGTTTGCCATTTATAAACCCTGATTTCTCGTAGTTGGTGCCCGTAATGATATAATTCGGTCTTTTGACCCCATCTACTGTAACTATAGTTACACTCACCAAACACATCTATAACCCCTAGTTAATCTACTTATAAACCAACCAGTTGCGCACGTTTTTTGGCACCATCTTTTATCCCATTATATCTCACAAAAACCCAGTATTTCCATGATTCTACCATTATTCTCCCAGGATATCCCCAGTGATTTATAGATGATTTTGCTGATAAAATGGCCCATTATTCGAAGCGAAAAAAATGATGATTCACCTCCAAAAAATGCGCTTTTTTTTCCAGTTCGCGAAGTGTCAAATAACCAGAGGGTAATTCTCCCTATTTACATCATATATATATATATAGTTATGCCTTGATTCATCCCATCTTCATTCCATTTAATGTGGGTAAAACAATGTCATAAACCACCACCCATGACTGGGAATGGTAAACATAGCACCTATATATTTATGGTGATGACTGGGGGATGGTTTATTCTTTTCCTCACATTAGTGTAAAACCACGGTCATGGTTGATTTTCCCAGTAAGACCTCCATTTGATCTGGATATTCCTATGTTCAATCCCATTAAGACACCATTTATCATAATTATATATCATATATCTATAGTAGTAACTTGTTTCATCCCATTTAATGTCAGTTTAATCCCATTAACATATAGCTATTTTAGTTCTTCAAGTTGTTTAATCCCAGTATATCCCCCTTAATTTGGGTAAATCAATCTCATGATATCCCCAGTTATTGGAATTCACCATCATTTAATAACATCCATATCATATTATAAAGTATAGTCATATTGTATTTCATTCCATTTGGAGGTTTCCTAAAATGGGTGTGCCCCTAGTTTTCATCCATTTTAGATTGGGATTTTCCGTTATAAAACATCCAGCTATTGGGGCATTCCCCATTTATGGAAACCACCATTTTCATCCCATTAAAACCCCATTTATCATAATATATCATATATCTATAGTAGTAACTTGCTTCATCCCATTTAATGTCAGTTTGATCCCATTAAAACCATTGTTTTTCGTTGGGTCACCACCTGCACCCCCAGTCTTGCTGCATCCCTTCGCCGTCGAATTCCAAGGCACGCCCGGCTCGTCGCAGAGCTCCCGGCAGCGCTGGCCCACCAGGGCGGTATCCACGAATTCCCAGGCTTGGCTCCTGAAAACCAGCGGAAAAATCGATGGAAAAATGAGCATTCAATAGGCAAAATCGATGGAAAACTATGTTTGTTTTGAACAGTATTTACTGTAACATATATATGTGGTATTTTAATGGAATTTTAATCATGACTGCCGGGGTCTATGTTAATTTATTGGAAGGTAAGATTTTTTTTCCCTAAATCCATGGTGGTAAAAATGGTGGAAAAAGATGGAGAAATCTGACGTGATATTTGGATGTGTGTCTGAAAATGGAAGATTCATCCTTCAATATCTTCAATTTATGGTTATTTCATAGTGATCAATCGGTAGATCTAGTGAGACAAACCTACGTAGGTTTAGCAGGAAAATCGGTGAACTTGAATCCACCTACCCTCCGGTAATCAAACATGGCAATCGAAAATTCCCAATAGATGGAAGTTCTACTAGGGTAAATCAGCTATATATGGTGAATGTTCACTGGAAACGTTTTTCCGAAGAGTAGATATACATATAATTTCTCATCATGCTCCCTTTTTACAACTCGGCATAACTGGGATCCAGCCTGCCAGTGTATCTTAGTTGTCTACCCATAAGAAATGCTGCATACTGGAATATGGTTCAAATTGGGATATTCCAACAAAGCTTGTACCCTCTGGTAATTTAACATAGCTATTGAAAATGGCCATTTATAGTGGATTTTCCCATGAAAAATGGTGATTTTCCATAGTTACATTAGTTTACCAGAGGGTATACCCCACCATCTGTCTTTTCTTAGATCCCAACGGTGTGGAAGCTGATCCCCCATTGGATTGAACCAAGCTGCACATCTGAGGTGGAGCAATCCGCACTGCTTAGGGTCGAGGAAGACTGAACCAAGCAGTACTGTGTACCTTGCGTGGCGTGAATCTGAAAACATGGCTAGTGGTTCATGATTGCCGAAGCTTATCCCATCTTATTTCGTCCTAGGATCTGAAACCATCCATTTTGGGGGTGATCATTTTGACCCAATCCTATCAATCCTCTTTTGATCTGGGTAAATTATAATATGTCACTAACCTGACTCTTGCGGCCATAAAAGGGGATGTTTTCCCTTTTAAAAAAAATGACAGTGAGGTCGTGATGAAATTTACCCAGAAATACATGGCTAATTGCACCATCTTCAGATACCCTCTGGTAAACTAACATAGCTATTGAAAATCACCATTTTTAATGGGAAAATCCACTATAAATTGTCATTTTCAATAGCTATGTTAGTTTACCAGAGGGTAAGTTATCGATGATTTTCCCCAAGTTCCCCTTGTCTCCCGCCTTCCTGATCCCATCGTTGCGGGACATTTCCCAGAGGATTTCCCCCAACAAAAGAAGATACCCCTTAGACGGGGTCATCCAAGTTCTCGGAAGGCTTTGCGTTGCCAAGGAATCTATTACTTATCTGCGATTCTTCCAAGAAAACCAATTACCAAAGACCATGGCCAATCAGCCAGATACCCTGCAAAAAAATGAATCTTAGCTGGTTAGTTAGTAGATAATCCCATAGCAAAGTCGACTATTTCGGATGAGTTTTTCACTACCCATCTTTCAGATTGCCCTAGCGTCCCTAGAGACCCAGCCAGATCCAAATGCCATATCTCCAAGCTGCCATTCACCAACAACTTGCTTGTGGTCTTGTCCACCCTGCGGCCAGATCCACCAGACAGCTTGGTTTCGTCAAAGCCAGACACTTAAGATCTTGATGATCAAACAAACGATGAGCTGAACAGTGACATATCCATTTTTCTAAAATCTAAGTTGAGTGGTTCGTTTTTTGGTTTTATGTTTATTGATCTTCCAATCTGAAGCAAAGTGATGTTTTTTGGGGGAAGTTCCCCCAATGAAACCAGCTCAGGTTTGTTATGGTTTCTCTTTCAAGAAAACCCTGCAAGGGAATGATATGAAATTATATAATACCACTTTGGTTTTGCACCAAAAAGGTGACGTTTGTATGAATATATACATACACACATGTGCGTATACAGTTCGTGTACATAAATTCTATGCACATGTTGCGTCTTCACCAAAATCTCTCGCGCAACCATGACTGGTTGGTGGTTTCAACCCCCTGAAGATACTAGTCGACCTGAAAAATCTGGGATGAAAATAGAAAATGTGAAATCACTAATTTATAGATTGTGTATACAATAACCATTATCTATCTATAGATGATTTATATATCACCAATTTGTAGATTTAGATACCATTCAGATCAGGATTGCTTATATACCCATAATATTAACCATAATATTACTCATAATATATCAATATCTCATTTCATCATGAAAAAAGTCCCGTTGGTTCAATTAGAATTATATCCCATTGGCTTCCTGGTTTCAACATTTTGAGGCTGAAATCACCATTTTTTCTAGATTTTTCTCACCAGCGAAAATCCGAAAGATTTTTGCGGTGAAAAATCTCCAGGTTGGGTTCCATCGGTTCTAACGATATGTTGGACATATCAGGATATGTATATCATAGAATTGGATGATGGGAAAAATTTACAGGAAACCCATATATTTGATGGTAAAAACCATGGTTTCCTGTAGATTTTCCTTTAAACCAATCCATTGAGTATATGTGGGAATGGGTCAAAATCTATTGTACCATATTTTGGGTGGATGAACATCCATAAATCCCACCTATGTTGCTGTTCATCAGGCTACAGGGTTTTGACTCATAGATATGTATGTATGTATGTATGTATGTATGTCTGTCTGTCTGTCTGTCTGTCTGTCTGTCTGTCTGTCTGTCTGTCTGTCTGTCTGTCTGTCTGTGTGTATGTGTGTATGTGTGTATGTATGTATGTATGTATGTATGTATGTATGTATGTATGTATGTATGTATGTATGTATGTATGTATGTATGTGTATATGTGTGTGTCTGTCTGTCTGTCTGTCTGTCTGTCTGTCTGTCTGTCTGTCTGTCTGTATGTATGTATGTATGTATGTATGTATGTATATAGTTGGAAATATACTATATATACTACAATATATTACTGCAATATATACACACCACGTACAATATAGAGATAGTAACATATTGTAACATACAACTATATTATGTTGGAAATCCATGGAAATCCAATCATAAACCATCCCGAACATCGAAGAATCCCCATTTATGGTAGGTTTATATAGGTTTGTGGCATTGGGTTGCCCACACGAATGTATCTCCCTTCTTCAAACGTTGGGATATCTAGATACATATTCGTAACATATTAAATCATGTATAGATATAATATAGATATATATCCCTAATTTTAAACAATAGATCTCCCCAATTTTCAGGTCAAATCCCGATTACATCCGACGTTTTTTTCATCGCCACCAAGCTGCTCAAAGCTTTGAAAGGCGCTGCCATCGCAGCTAGTGACTTTGGTACTGGCACCGCTCAAGAAGCTCAAGGTCTCCTGGGGGATCGATGATATCAATGGAGAAACGGAACGAAACCCATGGCAATTTGATGCTTTTTCCCAAGATATTCCTTAGCAAAATTCTGTGGCTTTCTCATGCTTCCCGTAGAAAATTGGTGTTTTTCCATGGTTTCCCATTCAAATTGATGTTGTTTCCATGGTTTTCCTATGAAGGAATTGTTGTTTTCCCTGGTTTTCCTATGAAAATATTCAGTAGCCACCAAAAAGATGCAGAAAAGGCTCAACGTACTAGCATTTTAAGCGGGGATGTTGCTTGTCTGCATCTTTTTTCGGGGTTGCTATAAGGGGTTTCCTGCAAGTTGTGATGCAATTCTAGCAGGAGTTGGTGGATGTGTATCTCACCTTGGCAAATGGTGCCATAGCTAGGGCCGCTAGGGATAGCTGGGGTATATCTTTGATGTCCAGTAAATTAACATAGACCCTGCCAGGGGTTGGAAGGCTATAGTGAAACCACTCCAAATTCTAAATTGGTCATTTTCAGGGTCGAACTGTTAATTTACCAGGGGGTAACTGAGGTATTTCATATGTCAACCACTTACGATGCCTGGCCATGGTTGGGGAGGGTCCCAATTTAGAGAAACAGCCACATGGGGATTGTGGCAACGCTGGGGGTGTAACTTGATGTTACAACCAAGACATATGGAGAATTATGGAGATAATTAGTTGATTTACCTATTAAAGATTGTGATTTTCCATAGCTACAGTATGTTAATGGGCCCTAGCTATGGCTTATCATTTGTCAAGGTGAGTTCTTGGCAATCTCCTCATTGAGGTAGTCGCATCATAGTCGCATAGATCATCGATCTGGGTAAATTATAATATTTCACTAACCTGAATTAAGGCCATTTGGGGATGATTTCCCTTACTAACCATGATTCCAGTGAGGTCGCAGTGAGGTCGTTATAATTTACCCAGATCGATGTCATTCAAACAATACGTGTTGATCCATTTCGGTCATCAGCTCCATGGCTTGCTGGAAGATCCCCGACAGCAAGCCATGGAGCTAACGACACTGGAGGGTAAGTTGGTGTCTAATTCCATCCATCTAATTCTACAACCCAGGTCTACATGAATCCCTACAACCCAGGTATAAAATCATGTGATTGTTATTAATCAAAGGAAGTTGGGAAGCAATACTTCCGAGTTACGAATGACTTTTACTTGGTGCAATTGACTATGATGAAGGGTGGTAGATCATGTAACAATACATAATGTACCAATACATCACAAAAGAATAAGAAGCAATGAAATTGACCTTGAGGAAGGGTGGTAGATCATATAACAATACATAATATAACAATACATAATGTACCAATACATCACAAAAGAATAAGAAGCAATGAAATTGACCTTGAGGAAGGGTGGTAGATCATATAACAATACATAATATAACAATACATAATGTACCAATGCATAACAAAAGAATAAGAAGCTATGAAATTGACCTTGAGGAAGGGTGGTAGATCATATAACAATACATAATCGAAGGAAGTTTAGAAGTGAAACTTCCGACAATATGGACAGTTGAAAAGCAGAGGTGAAAAGAGTCAGAAGAGAAAAGATCAGAAGAAAGAAGATGCAGATGCGCGAAAAGGTAGGAAAGTCGCGATTCACTGTGTTTTTCCAATGATTTGTGGCTCCGGAGGGTCGAAAAGTAGGCTCGCTAAAGCGGCAGGTGCGGAGCCAGCTGGCCAGATGAGACATGAAAAAGTGCACGCCGTTGTGGCGCGAAGCACATTTCCAAGTCAAAATGGACAAAACACTAGAGGATCGGACCACTTTTGGAAGTTGCCATGTCGAAAAAGTGCACGCCGTTGTGGCGCGAAGCACATTTTGAAGTCAAAATGTACAAAACACACCATGGTCGGACCACTTTTGGAAGTTGCGATGTCGAAAAAGTGCACGCCGTTGTGGCGCGAAGCACATTTTGAAGTCAAAATGAACAAAACACACCATGGTCGGACCACTTTTGGAAGTTGAGATGTCGAAAAAGTGCACGCCGTTGTGGCGCGAAGCACATTTCCAAGTCAAAAGTGATAAAAACTTATGGTCTCGGACCACTTTTGGAGGTTCAGATGTCGAAAAAGTGTCGAAAAAGTGTCGAAAAAGTGCACGCCGTTGTGGCACGAAGCACATTTCGAAGTCAAAAGTGTAAAAAACTGAGGGTTTTGAGCCTTTTTTGACGTGAAGATGTCGAAAAAGTAGACACTGCTTAACTTAACTAACTTGACTAACTTAACTACCCTAACTTCGACGACAACAGCAACAGCAACAACAACAACAACAACAACCACAACAACTACAACTACAACAACTACAACTACAACTACAACTACACAACAACTACAACTACAACTAGAACTACAACTACAACAACTACAACAACAACAACAGCAACAACAACAACAACTACTACAACTACAACTACACAACAACTACAACTACAACTACAACTAGAACTACAACTACAACAACAACAGCAACAACAACAACAACAACAGCAACAACAACAACAACTACAACTACAACTACACAACAACTACAACTAGAACTACAACTACAACAACTACAGCTACAACAACAACAACAGCAACAACAACAACAACTACAACTACAACAACTACAACTACAACTACAACTACAACAACTACAGTTGCAGTACATCACACTACATCCAGCAGTTGTGGGTGAGGTGACCACTGCAACCCTTGCAACCATTCCAGCAACACAACTCCAACCACCTTTCGGTCAATCAGTGGATTCGCTCTGCCATCCGTGATTCACAACAACCAACGTCTCCTATAGGTTTCCTATTCTGAAACTTCCGCCACCGCCTTGTGCGGTACTACTGGTATAACAATACATAATCTAATCAAAGGAAGTTGGGAAGCAATACTTCCGAGTTACGGAAGTGGCGACGAAGGGAAGTGGTGATGAAGGGGAGTGGTGAAGAAGGGAAGTGGTGATGGCGGGAAGTGGCGACGATGGGAAGTGGTGAGGAAGGGAAGTGGTGAGGAAGGGAAGTGGTGAGGAAGGGAAATGGTGACGAAGGGAAGTGGTGATGAAGGGGAGTGTTGAGGAAGGGAAGTGGTGACGATGGGAAGTGGTGAGGAAGGGAAGTGGTGGCGATGGGAAGTGATGAGGAAGGGAAGTGAGAAGCGATGGAATTGCTGACGATGGGAAGTGATGAGGAAGGGAAGTGGTGACGATGGGAAGTGGTGAGGAAGGGAAGTGGTGACGATGGGAAGTGGTGAGGAAGGGAAGTGGTGACGATGGGAAGTGGTGAGGAATGGCAGATCGCATTGGAATGGCTGCATGAATGTTGCATGGGCTTTGTTGTGGGGAGGAAGCCGGAGCACGAAACCTTGTGTTTTTCCGTGTAAAGTGGCTGCAGGCGACGATGAAAGGTTCCTCGTCTGTGCGACGGGGGCGGCTGCGGTCGTTTTGTGCGCGAATTGTTCCTCCTATGTGTTTTGCAACGAGTGGTTGTGTCTGTGTGCGTAGTTCTATGCGGTTCTTGAAGCTGTGGTGGCAGATCACATTGGAATGGCTGCATGAATGTTGCATGGGCTTTCTTTTGGGGAGGAAGCCGGAGCACGAAACCTTGTGTTTTTCCGTGTAAATTGGCTGCAGCCGGCGATGAAAGGTACCTCGTCTGCGCGGCGGGTGCGGTTTGGATCGTTTCGAGTTCAATCGGTTCCTCCTATGTGTTTTGCAACGAGTGGTTGTTCCTGTGTGCCTAGTTCTATGCGGTTCTTGAATCTCTGGTTGCAGATTGCATTGGAATGGCTGCTTCATTGTCGTCATTTGATGTTGCCACGTGCGTAGATAGGTGCAGGTTTGCTACGGGATGCTGCGAAACGCATTGTCATGGCTGCATGGATGTTGCATGGGCTTTCTTTTGGGGAGGAAGCCGGAGCACGAAACCTTGTGTTTTTCCGTGTAAAGTGGCTTCAGCCGGCGATGAAAGGTACCTCGTCTGTGCGGCGGGTGCGGTTTGGATCGTTTCGAGTTCAATCGGTTCCTCTCCTATGTGTTTTGCAACGAGTGGTTGTTCCTGTGTGCGTAGTTCTATGCGGTCCTTGAATCTCTGGTTACAGATTGCATTGGAATGGCTGCTTCATTGTCGTCATTTGATGTTGCCACGTGCGTAGATAGGTGCAGGTTTGCTACGGGATGCTGCGAAACGCATTGTCATGGCTGCATGAATGTTGCATGGGCTATGTTTTGGGGAGGAAGCCGGAGCACGAAACCTTGTGTTTTTCCGTGTAAAGTGGCTTCAGCCGGCGATGAAAGGTATACCTCGTGTGTGCGGCGGGTGCGGTTTGGATCGTTTCGAGTTCAATCGGTTCCTCCTCTGTGTTCTGCAACGAGTGGTTGTTCCTGTGTGCGTAGTTCTATGCGTTTCTTGAATCTGTGGTTGCAGATCGCATTGGAATGGCTGCATGATTGTTGTCATTTGGTGTTGCCACGTGCGTAGATGCATGCAGGTTTGCCACGGGATGCTGCGAAACGCATTGTAATGGCTGCATGAATGTTGCATGGGCTTTCTTTTGGGGAGGAAGCCGGAGCACGAAACCTTGTATTTTTCTGTGTAAAGTGGCTTCAGCCGGCGATGAAAGGTACCTCGTGTGTGCGGCGGTTGCGGTTTGGATCGTTTCGAGTTCAATCGGTTCCTCCTCTGTGTTCTGCAACGAGTGGTTGTTCCTGTGTGCGTAGTTCTATGCGTTTCTTGAATCTGTGTTTGTAGATCGCATTGGAATGGCTGCATGATTGTTGTCATCTGGTGTTGCCATGTGCGTAGATGCATGCGGGTTAGCCACGTCATGCTGTAAAACGCATTGTAATGGCTGCATGAATGTTGCATGGGCTTTCTTTTGGGGAGGAAGCCGGAGCACGAAAGCTTGTATTTTTCCGTGTAAAGTGGCTTCAGCCGGCGATGAAAGGTACCTCGTGTGTGCGGCGGGTGCGGTTTGGATCGTTTCGAGTTCAATCGGTTCCTCCTCTGTGTTCTGCAACGAGTGGTTGTTCCTGTGTGCGTAGTTCTATGCGTTTCTTGAATCTGTAGTTGCAGATCGCATTGGAAAAACGCATTGTAATGGCTGCATGAATGTTGCATGGACTTTCTTTTGGGGAGGAAGCCGGAGCACGAAACCTTGTGTTTTTCCGTGTAAAGTGGCTTCAGCCGGCGATGACAGGTACCTCGTTTGTGCGGCGGGTGCGGTTTGGATCGTTTCGAGTTCAATCGGTTCCTACTCTGTGTTCTGCAACCAGTGGTTGTTCCTGTGTGTGTAGTTCTATGCGTTTCTTGAATCTGTGGTTGCAGATCGCCTTGGAATAGTTGCAGTTTCCGAGGCTGTTGCGATAGCGATTTGTCAGCAGATTTTCTCAAGATTTTCGCAATTTTGGCGCTAGTAATGTTCCATTTAGAAATCCTTTTAAAAAGTGCTTCAAAATCGTCTTTTTTCTGCTTTGGCGTTGAGATCCGGTTGTGGAGCTGCAGTTTCCGAGGCTGTTGCATGTGCGTAGTTCTATTGTGTTTTGCAACTCAGTCGCTGCAGATCGCATTGTAGTGGCTGCATCAAGGTTGCTTGGTGCCGCGGCTGCATGCGTAATACTATTGTCTTCTTTGCAGCTGAACATCGTAAATCGTATTGGAGTGGCTGCATTCAGGCTGCGATAGCGATTTATCAGCAGTTTTTTTCGCATTTTTGGCGCTAGTCATTTTCCTTTGAAAAATCCTTTTAAAAAGTGCTTCAAAATCGTCTTTTTGCCGCTTTGGCGTCGAGATCCGGTTTTGGAGCTGCAGTTTCCGAGGCCGTTGCGCGTAGTTCTATTGTGTTTTGCAACTCAGTCGCTGCAGATCGCATTGCAGTGGCTGCGTCAAGGTTGCTTGGTGCCGCGGCTGCATGCGTAATACTATTGTCTTCTTTGCAGCTGAACATCGTAAATCGTATTGGAGTGGCTGCATTCAGGCTGCGATAGCGATTTGTCAGCGGATTTTCGCAATTTTGGCGCTAGTAATTTTCCTTTTAAAAATCCTTTTTAAGTCTTTTTGCCGCTTTGGCGTCGAGATCCGGTTTTGGAGCTGCAGTTTCCGAGGCCGTTGCGCGTAGTTCTATTGTGTTTTGCAACTCAGTTGCTGCAGATCGCATTGTAGTGGCTGTGTCAAGGTTGCTTGGTGCCGCGGCTGCATGCGTAATACTATTGTCTTCTTTGCAGCTGAACATCGTAAATCGTATTGGAGTGGCTGCATTCAGGCTGCGATAGCGATTTGTCAGCGGATTTTCGCAATTTTGGCGCTAGTCATTTTCCTTTTAAAAATCCTTTTAAAAAGTGCTTCAAAATCGTCTTTTTGCCGCTTTAGCGTCGAGATCCGGTTTTGGAGCTGCAGTTTCCGAGGCCGTTGCACGTAGTTCTATTGTGTTTTGCAACTCAGTCGCTGCAGATCGCATTGTAGTGGCTGCGTCAAGGTTGCTTGGTGCCGCGGCTGCATGCGTAATACTATTGTCATACTATTGTCTTCTTTGCAGCTGAACATCGTAAATCGTATTGGAGTGGCCGCATTCAGGCTGCGATAGCGATTTGTCAGCAGATTTTCGCAATTTTGGCGCTAGTGCAGAAGCGCCGAGATAAGTTGAAAGTAGATCCAACGCATGAGAAAGTTTGAGCTGCGCTCAGATGACATGAAAATAGCCAAGAAGAACGTAGCTGACATATGGGAAGACATGAAACCAGATGAAAAGAGCTCAGATGTGAAGTGTGAAGGGTGCAATGTGATGTGTGAGGAAAGTGCTTGCTTCACGTTGCATTGCACCGGGGACGCGCGCAGGTCATGTTCTTGGACAACAACATTGCAACAGCTTCGCACAAAGCACGCACGCACGGGCCTGGCTGGCGCACTGCGCATGCAAGTTCCTTTGTAGTAGTGCTGGGAAGTGATTCATGAAAGCTTAGATGACATATGAGAAGAGATGAGATGAGAAGAGCTCAGCTGGGATAAGGTGAGAAGAGCTCAGATGAGATGAAGGGTGCAGTGTGAAGTGTGGGGCAAGAAGAGTGCAGTGTGAAGTGTGGAGTGTGAAGTGTGAAGTGTGGACTGTGAAGTGTGACGTTTGGAGTGCGAAGAGTGCAGTGTGAAGTGTGGACTGTGAAGCGCGCAGTGTGAAGTGTGAAGTGTGGAGCGCGAAGAGTGCAGTGTGAAGTGTGAAGAGTGTGGAGTGTGAAGTGCGAAGAGTGCAGTGTGAAGAGTGCAGTGTGAAGTGTGTAGTGTGGAGTGTGAAGACTGCCAAGTGTGAAGTGTGAAGTGGAGCTTCAAATGTAACATGTGAAACAAGACACCAGTTTCGCAGAGTGCACGCACGCACGGGCTTGGCCTGCGCACGGCGCATGCAAGTTCTATAGATGAGAAAGGTCTTATATATATCTTTAAGGCAACTTCCGCCCCACCTCGTGCGGGTACTACTGGTAATGTAATATATTGTAATATACTAATTATGAATGATCTTGTTTCTACAACGCAATTAGATGATAAATTCCTACAACCTAAATCATCATGGTGTTTCATCATTTTACCATGGAAAGTTTATGAAAGTTGCAGAATGGGGGTTACCCTCAAAATTACATTCTCCATTCTATTCTGTGTCTTATGGTTACCCCAAAAAGTGGTATTACGGAAAGTGGGGTAATCAGAAATGGAGTGTAGTTTTGTATCCCATTATATCATGACTATATCCATCCTATTACCCTCTGGTAAACTAACATAACTATGGAAAATCACAATTGTCAATGGGTAAATCAACATAAATCAGCTATAAATGGCAATTTTCAATAGCTATGTTAGTTTACCAGAGGGTATATCCCCAAAAATTGTTGTTTTTCTTTCCCTTTTCGTTAAAGCTCCACGCACCCCAGCAGCCCGGCCTGTGCTTCCCAGTCGCTTGGCGCCACCACTTCCAAGCATTTCTTGTCTGGGCGTGTTCTACGGATGGCCAAAACAGAGCCGCAAAATAGGGCGGTCTGAAAAATGGTGGATAATTACCCTCTGGTGAACTAACATAGCAATGGAAAATCACCATTTTTAATGGGAAAATCCACTATAAATGGCCATTTTCCATTGCTATGTTAGTTCACCAGAGGGTACCCCCAAATGGCAATTTTAACAGGGAAAATGCTGAGAACCGACGACATTGGAATTAAAAGGGTAGCCTATGTTCAGACAAACCCAAACATCCCAAACATCCCAAGTTCATATAGGTGGGTTCCTCGCAGCTTCAAGAAAACAATTTCGGGAATGTCGACTTTTCTACTAAACATCAGTTGGAACTTGTGAATCTACCGGCGATGCAGTTCCCCTTGTAACTGGAGTCCTGTCCAACTTAACCACCAAAGTCATCCCCAAGGCACCCCAAAAAGGCACGGCTTCGAAGCTATTTTAGTTGGTTAATTCACAATAAATGGTGATTTGATTTTCATGGGTAATCTAAAGGGATTTTTCATGGGTGAATTCACAATGTATCCCATGAAAAATCCCTTTAGATTACCCATGAAAAATCACCATTTTTAAGCTCCATTTTGAGATGACTGTCCCTACGATAGAAAAGCCATGATATGTCCATGATCTCCCCTTTTACCCGGCCTGCTAAACGTTAACAAAAAACTATGGAAAACCACCATGCTATTAATTGGGTAAATCATGGTAAATCAACTATTTCGACTGGGCCATTTTCCAGTTCGCTATGTAACAAATTACAGGGGTTGGTAAATGTCCTAATTGAACATCACCCAAATATTGGGGATATCATCTTCAACAGATACTTGAAAGTCATGTTCAAAATCCCCAAAATGGGACATTTACCAAACCCTAAATTACCAGAGGGTAAAATTTCGATAAAAAATTCCCCGTCTCATCCCCGGTGGGCCCAGCCCCCGGTGGAAAAATGCCCAGCGACACGCCGGGTTCCAGAGCTGTCCATCTGCAGTGAGCTCCCAGAACTGGTCCTTGACAACGCGGGGGAGCCATGGAGATGGCTGGGAAAATCATCAAGCCGTAGATGCCAAGGTGGTGCCCCGTAGATGCTTCCTTTAAGGGGACCTATGGGGACCTGCAAGTTATATAGCTTGGGTTTATAAGAAAAATAGCTAGGGTTGATGAACGGGGCTTATATCGAACTAGTTCATGGGGATTATAAACCAATTATTAGGGGGTACCACCTTGTACCCTCTGGTAAACTAACAGTTTGCGAACTGGAAAATGGCCCAGTCGAAATAGTTGAATTACCCATTAACAAAATGGTGGATCTTTCCATAGTTGTGTGAACGTTTACCGGAGGGTACCAGAGGCTACCGGTTTCTATTTCCAAGTCAAGTCTGGAGACCTTTCAGTGAACATGGCGAAAATTCCTCATGTTCATGGGAAAACACAGACCTTCTGTAGATTTCCAAATGGTGGCTTCTCCACTACCAGTCTAGATTGAAGGGTAGATATTGTAATTTGTCTTCGATTTGTGTCAAATTAAGTGTCAGTAGGTCAGTGTACATTCCAAAGATCCGTCTATGTTCCACACTATGGTTGCAATATGTTGCAATGACCTACTACGGCACACTGGCATTGTCACTTCACCGTGGGCTTCCCAATACCGTGGACTCACCCGGTGAATGTTTCCTGACTTCACAAGATCATCTTCGCTGAGTTTTCGGAGGCAATAGCATTTTTCGCTGCTCGGTTTCAGTGCCAAATCTTGTGGTGAGAATCGGAGACAATTGTTTGTTTCCCGATTTATACCCCATAGGATCCATGGTGATGCCATATATGGTAACATGGATCCCATCAATATACCCCAAATGTTACCATATATGGCATACATGGATCCTATGGATACTGAATAACTACAACTCCTAAATGGAGCTCTCCCTACTTTTTGTCGCATGCACCCTCAATTTACTCATCTCTCATGATCGTCAAACAACAGGGCTGTCTTGCCGCGGCACTTGCTCAGGTCCAACACTCATAGGTATGTGATGGTACATGGTATAGATGTGATGGAAAAAATAATAACTAAAGTAGGCAATAAGTATCATAACCATGTATATACACAAACTAGTCACTATAACGCTAATAACCTTTATAATATAGATAATCTCTATGATTAACATGGTCTATTTAAGTCTATTTCTGTAAGTGATGTCTAATATAGCTACCTGTATCTATGTGATATATGTATATATAGGCTTTAACTAATTAGTGTAAGCGATACCTCTGGCAATCAAACATGGCTAGCTAGAATTTTTCCCATTGATCGTTGATTTTCCCATTAAAGCCTGCATTTTTGTAGATTTTCCCAGCTAGGCACGTTTGATGACGCCGTTGGGCACCCTTTGACAAGGCTCCGAGTCTGGATTGTGTGGATCGCAAGTGCTCATCGACACTGTCGAGACAGCCTCAGCTCCTGCAAACGATCGAAATTGATGCAGCAACTTCAAAGGGATCCCTGAAAACTGGCTAACTGGAAACGCTTCTAAGGTCTCCAATTGGATCTTCAGAAGATTTCTTAAACAGATTTGTTTTTAGTGGGATATGATCTACCCTCTGGTTACTTAACATAGCCATGGAAAGATCCACCATTCTTCAGTTCGGTAAACCAGCTATTTCGATTAGGGCCATCTATACCATGGCAAACTGTTAGTCAAACCAGATGGTAACATAGATCATCTCTAGCTTGGCTGATTTTTCTGATCCCCAAATGATCCCATTTTTTCTGACAGAATCTCAGGGCCGGGCAAATCTTCCCCAGGCAACCTGTGGGGATCCCCAAAGGTGAAATGTTTGTTGGTTTATATAAACCCCAAAAACCAGGTGGTGCCCCAGTGAAACCAAAAACCCATTGGGAAAATGGTGGTTTAACATGATTTAACATGATTTAAAATGGTGATTTATGGATGAATTAGACAGCTAAGTGGGCGCGTTCATAAGTCCAATTAATCTAGGGTTTATGGTGGATATAACGTAACGAACTAGTTTATGGGGTTTATAAACCAAATTATGACTGAGGGGCACAACCTTGTACTATAATTCATCATAGTTGTTACGGTATATCGTATATATAATTATAGCTAATGGATATTAATAGTTACCAGTAGTACCGCACAAGGCGGTGGCGGAAGTTTCAGAATAGGAAACCTATAGGAGACGTTGGTTGTTGTGAATCACGGATGGCAGAGCGAATCCACTGATTGACCGAAAGGTGGTTGGAGTTGTGTTTGCTGGAATGGTTGCAATGGTTGCAGTGGTCACCTCACCCACAACTGCTGGATGTAGTGTGATGTACTGCAACTGTAGTTGTAGTTGTAGTGTAGTGGAGTTGTAGTTGTGGTGTAATGTAATTAGTGTAGTGTAGTTGCAGACATATAGTTGTAGCTGTAGTTGTTTTGTAGTTGTAGTTGTAGTTGTTGTTGTTGTAGTTGTGGTTGTAGTAGTTGTTGTTGTTGTAGTTGTCGCTGTAGTTGTTGTGTAGTTGTAGTTGTTGTGTAGTGTAGTTGTAGTTGTTGTTGTAGTTGTTGTTGTTGCTGCAGTTGTTGTTGTAGTTGTTGTTGTTGCTGTTGTTGTTGTTGCTGTTGTTGTTGTAGCTGTTGTAGTTGTAGTTCTAGTTGTAGTTGTAGTTGTTGTGTAGTTGTTGTAGTTGTAGTAGTTGTAGTTGTAGTTGTAGTTGTAGTTGTAGTTGTTGTTGTTGTTGTTGTTGCTGTTGTCGTCGAAGTTAGGGTACTTAAGTTAGTGAAGTTACTTAAGTTAGTCAAGTTAGTTAAGTTAAGCAGTGTCTACTTTTTCGACATCAGCACGTCAAAAAAGGCTCAAAACCCTCAGTTTTTTACACTTTTGACTTCCAAATGTGCTTCGCGCCACAACGACGTGCACTTTTTCGACACTTTTTCGACATCTGAACCTCCAAAAGTGGTCCGAGACCGTCAGTTTTTAACACTTTTGACTTGGAAATGTGCTTCGCGCCACAACGGCGTGCACTTTTTCGACATCGCAACCTCCAAAAGTGGTCCGAACCCCTGGTGTTTTGTACATTTTGACTTGGAAATGTGCTTCGCGCCACAACGGCGTGCACTTTTTCGACATCACAACTTCCAAAAGTGGTCCGGAGCTGCGGTGTTTTGTACATTTTGACTTGGAAATGTGCTTCGCGCCACAACGGCGTGCACTTTTTTGACATCTCAACTTCCAAAAGTGGTCCGGAGCTGGTGTGTTTTGTACATTTTCACTTCGAAATGTGCTTCGCGCCACAACGGCGTGCACTTTTTCGACATCTCAACTTCCAAAAGTGGTCCGAGAATGGTGTGTTTTGTACATTTTGACTTCGAAATGTGCTTCGCACCACAACGGCGTGCAATTTTTCATCTCTCGTCTGGCCAGCTGGCTCCGCACCCGCCGCTTTAGCGAGCCTACTTTTCGACCCTCCGGAGACACAAATCATTGGAAAAACACAGTGTTTCGCGACTTTCCTACCTTTTCGCGCATCTGTATCTTCTGTCTTCTTACTCTTTCTCTTCTGATCTTCTGTCTTCTAATCTTCCTCTTCTCTCTGCCTCTGCCCTGCTCTGCTTTTCATCTCTCCATATTGTCGGAAGTTTGACTTCTAAACTTCCTTCGATTAACTATAGTTACATCTACTCTATAGCATCCGAACCAATCTTTTCAACCGTAGGACTGCTTGCCTTCTGATTTTCCTTTTGGGAAGAATTCAATATAGTGGTCCTGCGAACAAAGACAGATTTTCCATCCCAATTTCACCCTCCAGGGGCATTTCAGGCACCGGCTTGACTTTTTCTGCTATTCTTGATGAGGGGACAGATAAGACATCAGTAGATGCGTTCACCTTGGAGGATTCAGGGCTGTCTTTCCAGACAAGCAATACCGATGCGTCGTCAATTTGTGTCACCCATATATAGGAAAGCCGCCGATTTGAGAGCTCTCTGCAACTCGCGCTGCCGCCTGTTTTGCCTTCTTTTGTGTTTCTTGCGCCATCTCTTCTGGAGATCATCTGCTATTTCTGCTGCTATGAACGAAGCGTGAAGAAGATGGTCTGCACTCGGTTGCCATCCCATCGGGCATGCTTGAGAAGCTGCACCTTCCTTCGTTGATGATGAGGTGGTTTTGAAACGGTAGACATAACGAAGTCCTTGAAAGGTCTTTGCGTAGAGCTTCTGTGTGAAAGGCAGCAAGCACATAGCGAAATTGGAGTTATTTGCACGCACCAACTTAGCGATTCCGTTCACGGGGGTCCCACTTAGTGATCCACGGTTGGAGGACTTACGATCCGTGGGATGATACGAATCAAGTGGAATGCGATCCCTGGAAGTTTATCCCAAGTTAAGTGGGTTTACCCTCTGGTAAACATACAAAAAACTATGGAAAATTGTGCTTTACAGTGGATTTACCCATTAAAAATGGTGATTTTCCATACATAACTATGGAAAATCACCATTTTCAATGGGTAAATCCAAAATTTCTATCACCATTTTCAATAGCTATGTAAACGTTTACTAGAGGGTATCTACTGTATCTACTGTGCATGGAAGACATCTTGCACCAGTTTGTAGATTCGCATCCGCTGATAATCCCATTATTGTCCCAGTGTTTCATGACTATCCAATAGACTATCCGATAGATATCAACTCCAGGATTTCTTAGCCGTCCACTGGCAAAATATAGATCATATATCCCATTCAAAAGAAAGAACACTCATATCTCATATCCCCATGTTTGGTTGGTTTTGCATCCCCATTGTAGCTGGTTCTATATACCATTGTATCCCAAGTTGCTGGTTGGTATCCTCCCATTAAATATCCAACTCAAACAGAGGGTGGTGCACCATAGTTTGTTAAGTTGCTCCAAAACCCCCACAACTACTTCGATGCATCTACCATAAACATCCATAAACCCAAGTGAAATTGGAGTTATGGACGCACCAAGTCGGCTAACAAAAAACTTGGGCACCAGTTTGCATCTTATCTCAAACTTAGTGATATATATATATATACGTCTCCAGTGAAGCTGCACCAAGTCGCCAGACTTCATCTGGTGGCTACTCCAGACCTTCCCACGAGCCCAGGTGCCACGGCGCAGCTGACTGCCCGACTGCCCCATCATCTCTGAATATCCAATTCAAACAGAGGGTGGTGCACCATAGTTTGTTAAGTTGCTCGAAAAAGCCCAAAACATCCATAATAAGCCCAAGTGAAACTGGAATTATAGACGCAGCAAGTTAGATAACTTACAAAAATTGGGCACCAACTTGTATCATATAAAAAAGATCAAAGTTCCATATTTTTTAAATCACATAAAAGTCACATCAGAAAACACATTCAAAAATCACGTATTTAAACACATTTTCCCCAATTAGCTATCATAAATCAGCTATAAATCCCATTAAACCCACATTTTCCTATGGTTTCCAAACGGGTTTCCCATGATATCATCATCATGTTCCCACCCACGGCAACATCACCAGTGGTGCTTCAGGCGCCATGGGATCCACGCTCCTGGTCCAAGCGCTGAGCCCACGGGATCCACGCAGGTCTTGTCGGCGAAGGAACGGAGCCTTGGAAAATGGTCAATGGATTTACATCTAGATGATTGATAGATAGATAGATAGATAGATAGATAGATAGATAGATAGATAGATTTAAATCTTATATATATATTATACATTACATATTGCATATAAGAAAGATATATATATATATCACATATGCTAAATATAAATATATATATAATCTATGTATATATATATATATACCCAAGTTATTTAACGCAGCTATAGGGGAAAAAAAGAAAACACATTTTCCAATGGTAAAGGCAGATCATCCATAAATGGACCATTGTCCATAGCTATGTTAAATAGCAAAAGTGTATATATATGTATATAGCTATAGCTATATAATGAGGATGTAATAATGGATATAATCTATGATCTTAATATATATATGTATATAATGAATACTAATGGTATAACGGATATAGAATCCTGGCTTCAAAATATGATCGAATGATGGTGGATGAGGATAAAGCGGATATATACCAGCCATAATTGGGATATAATCGAACATAACATACATATACATATATACATAATGCATATATAATTATATGTATATAACTTTTAACGAACAAATCTGGTTTGAATCATTTGTGAATCACCAAAAGGCAGCCCGATTGACATGCAGAAACATGTTGCTACTCCTAAAACAGCGAAACTGCCTAGCGCGGAAAAACAAGCTGTCGGATGGTCTGTCCCCCAACACATGCCTAACCTTAAATATGCCCATGATTCTTGGTGGGATATCAAATGCCAATCCTCCGTTGCTCTTAGTCAAAGGGTCAAAAAAAATCACCCCATCAAACACACAACCCATCACAAAGCGGTCGGTGTCTGGCAATTTTGGCCGCCAGTTTTCCGAGTTTGGGCAGTCAAATCCTAGATGATGTGGTGAAAATACACCACCAGTGTTGATGGTTAAATCTCCCTATTGATGGTTAAATCATCTTAAATCCCTAGTGATGGTTAAATCCCATGAAAATATTCATTTATATCCATGAAACAGTGCCATTTATATCCAGATACCTCGCAAAAGATAACAAAATCTTAGCTGGTTAGTTAGCAGATAATTCCATACCAAATCAATGGCCATTTTAGGAACCTAAATTGGAAGTACCTACCATATAAGGCTTATGTAAGGCCTATGTAAGGGAATATCCCCACAAAAGATGGCCTTATATGGTACAGTACCTCCATTTTAGGATCCTGAAATTCCCATTGACCAAAAGACTATTTTGGATTAGTTTCTACCCATCTAAGATGTTGACCTGTCGAAATGCCATACCTGGTCAAAGGGAACCTCAACAAAATTCAAACAGAATTCTGTCCGGATGAGACCCCCCTACATAGCTAAGTTGACTTATAACTTAATTAAGTAGGGTTTATGGGGTTGAACTATAATCAATGGGTTTATATAAATAATGATACGTATAAGAAAGTTTGAAAGCTATAAATGATGAGATAACTATAGTTCGTGGTTTGATACACCAACTTCTAACTGCTCGGGCTTCATCTTGTGCAAGTTTCAAAGACATCCGCAAGGCTGGCCCGTGGCTTTGCACGGCAGACCGAGGACAATAACTGTCCGTCAGGCAAGACCAACCGAAGACTCTGGAGGGGAACTGTAAATTCACGCGCAATGCGCTTGTGAATTTTCCAGGCAAGGTCGGATGGAGATACATTCAAAGATATCACTTCTTCCCCATTGAAACCAGAGCAAGTCAGCACCATGGAGTCATCTTGACAAACACAATCTAGTTGCAACACGCGGTCTCTACATATGTCTGGACGCATATCTGAAACGTAGCAAGTCCCTGCATCCGGAGTCAGAGTTTGGAATCCATGCCCCTCACAGGTCCCGCAGGTCACAGCAATGCCATCGCTTCTGAGCAGGACTGTGTGAGATCCACCTGCAGAAACTTGGAGATATGTAAGTCCGTCATCCAAAGGGGGAATGTCGCATTGTCCATTCCTATTTTCCCCGCAAGCTACAGCATCGCCATCACTTCTGACAAGTACTGAGTGAAATCCACCTGCAGAAACTTGGAGATATGTCAGTCCATCTTCGAGAGGTGGAATATTGCATTGGCCAGACTCATTCACTCCGCAAGCCACAGCACTGCCATCACTTCTGAGAAGCACTGTGCTAAATGCACTTGCAGAAACTTGAGTATATGTAAGTCCGTCATCCAAAGGGGGAATATTGCATTGCCCATAATTGTTCAGTCCAAAAGCCACAGCATCGCCATCGCTTCTGAGAAGCACTGTGTGATGCGTGCCTGCCGACACTTGGGTATAAGTAATACTATCATCCAAAGGTGGAATGTTGCATTGACCAGAATCACCTCTTCCGCAAGCCACAGCAATGCCGTCACTTCTGAGAAGTACTGTATGATGGGCGTTTGCAGAAACCTGAGTATATTTCACTCCGGCATCCAAACAGGGAATGTCGCCCTGTACATGCCTGAGTCGCAGAGCCACAGCAAAGCCATCACTTCGAAGAAGTGCGGTACAAGGTCCTCCGGCAGAAACCTGGGTATATGTCAGCCCGTCCTCCAAAGGTGGAATGTCCTGTCGAAGTTTTCCGCAAGTCACAGCTTTCCCATCACTTCTGAGAAGTACTGAGTGAAATGCACCTGCCGAAACCATTGGCACGAAGACGTATGCATATGTTTTGAACCATTCTCAGAACGTTCGGCTGGACGTTCATATCACTCCGACAAGTGCGAAGATTCTACCAGACCCAAGAGTTCCTACAAATCATGCAACCAGAGCAAGGTTTTGTTTGATTACAACATGCTTGTTTTTTGATAATAGGGTACCCCAAAAATCCCATGATGAATCTTCATGTTCGGCATCAAAGTTGTATAAACTGGCGGCATACTAACCATTCTCCGAGACACCCAGCTACCCAGCTACCCTTTGTTGGAAGATCTGGAAATCCTTCTCTAAAAACCACATGGTTCAGTCAGAACACCAACATCCAACATCCTAAGAGGCACCTGAGAAGATCTTGCACAAGATGATAAAATATGATCAATGTCAACCCCGGATGAGACATGTCACCATGTCAAAAAAACTTTGCGAACTGGAAAATTGCCATGTGAAAAATAGGTAGATCATCTATAAATCTATGGTCCATATTTTCCAGTTCGCTATATCATGCTATATCTATAAATGGTCCATATTTCCAGTTCGCTATGTAACTTAAATTACCAGAGGATTCCCATAAACCTATTCCCATAAGCCATCGATTCTCCAGTCATGGTGATTTTCGGAAAAAACACATCACCATCTCAGCGTTGAGTAGAGAACGTTGATTTTCCCATGGGAAAACTAGCTCCATTTTAGAGTGGATCTAACTATATAGATCTTTTTCCCACCAAAAAAAACATAGAGTGGATCTAACTACGTATATTTTTCCCACAAAAAAAAAAAACATGATGGTTACCCTCCCTTAAACTAACAGTTTGCTATTGAAAATGGCCATAGAAATAGTGGATTTACCTTAAAAATGGTGATTTTCCATGGTTACGTTAGTTTACCAGAGGGTACCCTCCCTTAAACCAACATAGATGTGGAGTTTACCCACCAGTTCTAGATCATTTACCTACGGAAACCGTTGGTTTTTCACCGTGCTTTTGTGTGATTACCTAAAGGCTAACATGTCATGATACCATCGCAAAAGACAGGTAAATCATGAGAATCATCTATAGATGGGTCATGCTCCTATTTTTATCATCATTATTATTGCTATTATTACTGGTTGGTGGTTTTATCCATCTTGAAAAATATTAGTCAATGGGAAGGATTATCCCATATACTATGGAAAATAAAACATGTTTGAAACCACCAACCAGATTATTTCTATCATCATTATTATTACTATTACTGCTATTATTTTATATATGTATATATGTGTTATATGATATGTGTTTCCCCACTAGATCCGATGATGCTTAACGATCATGGACTGATTTTTTTGGCCGAATCCAGTTCTCCAAGGCACAAGCCCTTCGTGGGCATCTGCTTGGCATCCGCCTCCACAAAGCCAAAGACTTGATCTGAGAAGGCCTGCAACGAGGGGTTCCAGCTCAGGAAAAACCTGACAGGGCAAAAATGGTGCCTTAACATGTGAATGAAGCTTAAAATGGTTTAGTTTAAGTAATTTTAAAAATGGTTTAAGTAGCTTTAAAATGGTTTAAGTAGCTTCAAAAAATGATGAACATGTGGATTTTGACCAGCAAAATGCGGCAAACATGGTGGTTGAACCAGGGAACATAGTATGAGCAAATGCGGATTTTGGCCACCAAAATATGCGGATCTAACCTAGAAAAATGCGAATTACCGCAGAAAAGAAAATGGGGGTTTACACCAAAAAGTGCAATTGTACACATAAAAACATGAGTACAACAAACTGCAAACAAAAAAACGAACGAACGATCGAACAAACAAACAAACAAACAACCAAGCAAGCAAGCAAGCAAGCACGTTTGTAAACGAGCGTTCTTAACTTTCTATCAAGGAACTGCCATACCCAAGCTGGAACAATGGTTGCACTATGTTGGACTTCGTTATTGGCTTAGTCTTCTTGGCAAGTTGGCCTCATGGTGAGATTTCAATGAGATTCCCTAACTTCAATCCCCAGGTTGCTGAAGTCCCATGTTTCTTGGGTCAATCACCATTTTTGGAGGGTAAATCCCAATGTTACCTAAATCCATTTATATCCTATAATCTCCCATGCGCACTCGGGAAAAAAATATGAGCCATCTATGTCTATACCGTATATATACCCTCCATGGGACATGCCGGCTTTCTTGGCTATACAAATCCATGTTTTTTTTGGTCGGTCACTATTTTGTTGGTTGAATAATAACCTGTATGGAGGAAACCTATCCATGTTTGCGAAAGAACCCCATATATAGTAACTCCAATCCTTAGTCTCACCATTTTTGCTGACTAAATCTCCAGTAATATCCATGTTCTGGCTTACCATCTGGTTATTTAACATAGCGATGGAAAATCCCGTAAAGAAATGGAGGTTTCTAGCTGGGAATATCCTCTATTTCTATGGGCCATCTATACCATGGCGAACTGTTAGTCAGAACCAGAGGGTAAATCCACATCTTTCTTGGTAAAATCACTGCTTTCCTTTACTTCAGGATCATTCCACTGAACATCACCGCTTTTTCGAACGGACTGAAGCGGCTTCGTCACCGACGATTTCTGGGAGAGTCCTCCAGGTGGGATCTAAGCAAACTCCACATCTTGCTTCGTAAAAAATCCCAGAAAATCCCACATGACAAATCCACATCTTGATGAAATCCCTATTTAAAAAAAAAAACATGATGTCCCATTCAACGCAGTAAATCCCCATGAAATCCCCATGAAAATCACCGAACTACGAAGTAGGGGGCACCTCCTCACAGCTGGGGCCGCCGGAGTAGGCCCAGCGGTCGTAGAGGTAGCTGGCGGAACCTGGTTCTGGAGTTCATGGGATTTTATAACCTTGGGAATCTATAGGATAACCATGGATGTTAGTGGGATGTGGATGTTAATGGGATTTCAGGAGATTTATTTATCATGACATCATTTTTGACCTTGCGCGCAGAGAGTGAAAAAATAAGGGGATTGTTCAATGAGTCAGTGGATATTTGTTTCGTCGTTGAACCCAGTCGGACTGGTGCCACTGATGGCTTTTTGCCGCAATGGCAGCCTGGCATCGGCATCGGCAAGGCCATGTCCAATCCCTTTCCCCTACAGGATGGGGCCCCCAGTCGATAGCGTTCAGTTGCCTTGTAAGTGGCTGAATTCTATGGTTTATGGTAGATGTAACTGTAGTCAATGGGGGTTATTTCATGGTTTATAAACCAACTTATAACTGGGGGGCCCCATCCCCGAGTATTACATACATACCCTGCTGGTTGGTGGTATACCTACCTCTCTGAACAATATGAAAGTCAGTTGGGATGATGACATTCCCAATATATGGAACCAAAAAAAGATCCAAACCACCAACCAGATGAGTTAACGAGGTTCTTGGTTTTCCATAATGAGTGAAACTGCTGTTTTAGAGGCATTGCCCAATATGTTGAGGTGCTAAAACCATGTAAAAACACAGGGGAATCGTCGAAGTCGAAATTCTGCCTCCAACCGACCCAGTGGCAGGAAACTTTTAGGACCTATGGAAACTGGCAAACATCACCGCTGACGTCGGGAGTTGACACAAAGTCACTATAGGCTCCACGTTTTGCAGGGTGAATCCCTGGACATCCGTCGCAAGTCCAGGACAAAATCACTGCCACTGGTGCTGGACTGTAGGTCGTACAACCTGCGGCTACACAAGATGAACATGTAGCGGCAATCTGGTTCCACGGGGTCCTCGAAAGGGGTCCAATATCGATGAATCTGCGGAAGAGGTGGAACCATGAGAGTGCTTAATGGCACCTTAATCGGGTTTTTCGGACATCCACCACATTGCGAGGACGGTAGGACGGAGGCCAAGAAATGGCAGAATCTGCTCCACTGGGCCATTGGCAGCTTGCGGGCGGAGCCTGTCGCAATTTGGACATTCACAAACAGAATACCCCAAAATCAAGTGGTTGTATAATCAGGGTATACAAACGATTTCCAGACACACATCCAAATAGATATGCTACTAATACTCCATGAATATCCCAACATATGTTGTTTTCTACCCCCATGTATCTTTGCTCATTGAACCCATACAACCCAGTATCATATCAACTTGATTGTATGTATATACAGTAATCTCTCATGAATATCTAGATTATATCACTACGATTCCCTATGAATAGTCCCAAGTGGTGAAACCCATCAACTATTAGTTAGTTATATCCCTGTTGACCATTAACTTCTACATAAATCATCATCATGCTACCCTCGGATCAACCAACAGTTCGATGTGGAGAACCCATGAAGAAAAAAACAGGAAAATAGTCTACGTGCTGGTCTTTTTGCACATCGAACTGTAAACGTTTATCTTAGGGTAACAACTATAATAGCATATAATAACTAGAATTTCAGTCATGCTTGATTTTCCAAAGTGAAAAAACGTTTGGAAACGGCCGTAACCACCATCCCTATCCCCAAAACTGCTTGCCACTAGCGCCCCAACATCCAACCCGCCGGCACCACGCTGAGCTCGCGACTGTCCTGCAAATGGCAACCACCATTGCTCCACCAAGCGTAATGGGCGCAGCCCTGCACGCTGGCGCAGCCTGACGGCGCCCAAACCTATAGAAACCCATGGGAAAATAAGGGAAAATCATGGGAAAATCATGGTGAACATACAGGAACATGATGATTTCATCTGGCCAAACAATGGTGATTTAGAGGGATTTATACTGAATGGATGATAGCTAAGTTGATGCACACAACTTGGTCAACTGTTTTGTTTATGGAGAATATGATACTTGGCAAACCATGGCCACTCTGACTGACCTTTCACGGCATCTCTCTTTGACGCATCATCTCGTCCACCTATGTTCTGCCTGTCCTTGGCTGCAACTGTCTCTCCAACAACTGTTTCTCAAGCATTTCACATCGATTCTCCTTTTCCAACATCTGTTCCATCTGACATCGTCTCTCCTTCTCGTCACGTATACCTTCTGCTTCTCCACCAGCGCTTGAAGCGCAGCTGTCTCTCTCGAAGATAAGCGCCAGTGCGCTCTGATAGACTTCTCCACCGACAATAGTTGTCCTATGTTGTCCTATTTGGGTATACCAATGGTATACCAAAAATTGTCCTATTTTAGTACACCTCTAAATTCATATCCCAGTCTCTCATTGATATACCATGATATATACCATTAAATATCATGAAAACCAACGAGTAAGCGAGCCATGAAAAATAGTCCTATCCCATGATACTAGTTAGTTGATAGGTTTCCCAATCCTATGGCTTATCAGATGTTATCATAATCCCCAGGAGGTAGTATAAATATGTATAAATCCCTAGCTTGTAACCAATCAACCATCATTTACCAATCATTTACCAATCATTTACCAACTATATCCCCATATTTCTGATTCCAAAACCCTAGAAAAACCACGGTTGTGATTCCAATCCCCTTCTGAACCAATCATCCATCCCGTCTTTCCAGATTCGAGAGGCGTTGCTGACACTTGGTGGCACTCGTCTCCACCGTTCGCCCTGGCACTGATGGTGCTGATTTTTCAATAAATCATTAAGTTATTCCAAGAATAATAACCTATTTTAAGTTATTCATAGTTATTCCAAGTTATAGTTGTGAAAATGATAGTTATCTATAATAAGTTATTCAATAAATCATAGTTATGAAAATGATAGTTATTCATAGTTATTCCAAGATTATGATAATTCATATAGTTATTCATAGTTGATTAGGGGGATATAACTATAGCTGGTTGGTGGTATACCTACCCCTCTGAAAAATATGAAAGTTGGGATTTTTATTTCCAACTGAATGGGAAAAAATGTTCAGAACCACCAACCAGATACAGTTCACCTGGTGAACTGGCTTGAGTAGGGGGATATAACGAACTAGTATTCATGGGCTAGAGCAACCAACATCGTATTGGAGAACCATCAGTCAAAGGATTTCTCAATGGAACAAAAAATGGAATGGAAAAAAGGGATACAGTTTGCCACACCGAAATGATATTCGGAGGTATGTCTGAAAATGGTTAATGTTATTGACATACCCCCCGGCGGCGATGTTGATGGCTATATCGTAGGGAAAATGACATGATGAAGCTGCGGATTTCCAAAAATCATTGGGGAATTGAAGAGAATGGAGGTTGAAGCCTGTGTTCAAACCAGTAAAACCAACCTAGGATGGGAAGAAACATGAAGAAACCAAACAAACATGTGGAAAGAACAAATAGTTGAGAATATTGGATAACACCAACCAGCACGAGATGGAAATATACTTAAAACCAACCAAGCCAGCAATAGAACCATCACATATTCAGCGAGAGAGGTCTCACGATGGATCCCAAGAGTACTTCAATTCATCCGAAACACATCAGCTATACGGCTCTACGCTACAGTTAGGCTATACCCTCTGGTAATGACTCACAAAAAACGAACTGGAAAATCACCACGAAAAAAAGTTCGGTAAATCAACGAATAACAATAGCCATGTTCCAGTTCGCTATGTAACAAATTACCAGAGGCTAATCCATGGTGAGCCGCTCGGCAGCCATGGCAGTGACCAGCTTCCAATGGGATCGTCCCAACGGCTTTCTGTAGAACCAGAGGTTCTTTTTTTCACAACCGTTTTTTTTTAGCCATTGATGGATGCGATAATCCAGTTCTATCCAATCCAGTTCTATCCACTTATAATAGCTTATAACTTCCATTCTATAATCATTGTGATGACATGTTACAATCCATTAAGATGGCCTGAAAAAGGATATGAATGGCGATTCACGAAGATTGCAAGGACGACCCCCAACCCACCACACTCTCACCTTGTCCATCCATGTTCAGGGGATCGAAACGATAGCCCCTGCTGTAGCACAGCCCCTGGACATCGTTCGACGAAAGGGGAAAAAAAGCGATGAAATACACACGGTCAATCTTTGACAGTCAAGAATGTTTCTATCTTTTGCTGGTGATGGTTGCTTTGCTTTTGGTTATTGCCCATTTATAGCCAAAAAACCAAGGACTATATAAAGTACCCATCCAGTCGCTCGGGGATCTCTCAGGTACAACCTGCCCAAACTTCAGATGGGCATCGCCAACATCCGGGGATTGAGGAGCAAGTCGTCGTGCAAATTTTTGGGGAACAGTTCCAGGGTTCAGTAATTTAACATAGCTATTGAAAATTGCCATTTATAGTTGATTTACCTATCAAAAATGGTGATTTTCCATAGTTATGTTAGTTTACCAGAGGGTAAGTGGATAGACTTCTTCCATTTTTCTAGGGCGTATATCCAGGGTTATAAGGGTTATTACCATTGTTATACCCATGAATAACCCCAACTGGACCCCCGATGACCAAAGTGGTGATGTTGACTACCATCTAAAAATTGGACCACCGGTTCTGAGGACAATAGATAGGTGATATACATATATATATGAATTTATCAGTGAAACTGGGGTTAAGGCAAATTGATGCGGTATTGTGCAATACCGCCATGTCTCTGCGTTCGCTATAAACTCATATACCTGGTGAATTCTTGTCCACCAATCTGGGTCTGCGGGATGTATGAAACTGCCACCGTCAACAGGACGCATCTTCCATACTACTTGGGGGTGCAGTCGGGGTAACACAACAAATGAATCTATATATGGATGGGATTTTCACCTCCATAAGCTGTTTATTTCAAATATAGGGCCCCAAAAAACTCAAAAAAAATGGTGTCATGAAATAGGATTGTAACCTCCATGAAGTCTTTTTTATATGGGGCCCGAGAAAACAAAAATTCGTGGAACTACACCCTCACCTTGTTGGGTTCATCTTACAGCTACATCTTTTCGTACAAGGTGGTGTCTGCTAGATATGTTTGTTGGTGCAAATAACCCCAATTTAAGTATAGTTATAAGCACTATGAGCATCCAAAAAACTCCAGTTCACCTAGTTCCAAACTTGTTGATATAGTGTTGTTATATGTTGTTATGGTGATTAATAAGTATTACAGTAAATTCCATTGGTTTTTTAACCAAGATTGGCCTCTACCACAACTTAACGATTTGGGGCAAAATGGCATCATCTTCCAAGGCGCATCAAATTCACAGGTCTTCCAAGTGATCGTCATGTCGTTGAGACCCATGCTGCCTTCCGTGTCCTGAGATTTTGACCATGGGCACGTGGTGGATCCAACCATTTCCAAAACCCCAATGGTATAATGAGATACATATATCCACATTATCTATATAACATATAGAAACCCATTATATATATATTTATACATATATGGTGCAGCGTTGGCCAGTCCCCCTCCCCCCCCCCCACCAATGGGTATGGGTGGACAGTATGGTCTGTTCTTCTGGTCCCCCCCCCCTGTGGCCCGTGGTGGTGGTATGGTTCTTCTGTGTCCCCCCCCCCGTGGCCTGTGGTTGGTATGTTGGTATGTTGGTATGTATGTATGTTGTATGTATGTATGTATGTATGTATGTATGTATGTATGTATGTATGCATGTATGTGTGTATGTATGTGTATGTATGTGTATGTATGTGTATGTATGTGTATGTATGTGTATGTATGTGTATGTATGTGTATGTATGTATGTATGTATGTATGTATGTATGTATGTATGTATGTATGGTATGTATGTGTATGTATGTGTATGTATGTGTATGTATGTGTATGTATGTGTATGTATGTGTATGTATTTGTATGTATGTGTATGTATGTGTATGTATGTGTATGTATGTGTATGTATGTGTATGTATGTGTATGTATGTGTATGTATGTGTATGTATGTGTATGTATATGTATGTATGTCTGTATGTATGTCTGTATGTATGTCTGTATGTATGTCTGTATGTATGTATGTATGTCTGTATGTATGTCTGTATGTATGTGTATGTATGTGTATGTATGTGTATGTATGTGTATGTATGTGTATGTATGTGTATGTATGTATGTATGTCTGTATGTATGTATGTATGTATGTATGTCTGTATGTCTGTATGTCTGTATGTCTGTATGTCTGTATGTCTGTATGTCTGTATGTATGTATGTATGTATGTATGTATGTACGTACGTGTGTACGTAAACACACACATATATATATATATATATTTATTTATCTTTCTGTATATTCCAAATGTTGTCTGTTTGAAACCTTTGATCCTTACGGTCTTGGCGTGTTGCTGACGACACAGTCACTCCGAACAACCACCAACGATGCACCAAGCGTAGCTGCCCTTGCTATGGCCAATGTACAACTGCTTCGTTCACTGCAGCCCCCGTGCAACTGTTCAAGGCCATTAGGGATTATCAGCAGAAAAAAAAGAGTCTCCATTTGTATAGAATTTCATATGAGCCATGGTCGAAATTGATTGTTTACGTCAAGTGCGTCATCAGTTTAGTGAGCCCCTATCGTTTTACATATTTTGACACTTATTTTACATCTGTTTAAGCATAGTTTTGAAGCGCGTCCACTTGGACCCTCATCCCTGGCGATCTTTGTTTGCGCGCGTTGTCGTCAGAATGACGTTACTCTCGCCGTCTCTTTGTAAAACACAAATCTGGCTCGGATGTTCTGCTTAGTAGCTGGGACATTTCTTTGCCCAAGTTGGACGTTTCCTCGAATCCACTTATTCTAGATGTATATGCGTGTATTCATTCAAAAAGTAACTTAAGTATTGCAGGTATTGTAACATGGAAGTTTCTTTTGCCTGGGGTTGAAGCTCGTCGTCTCTCATTTATTCTTATGCATGAGCATTTACGCCATGTGCGCAGTCATCGTGTGTGTACCCTTGTGGGTATGTCTTGCGTGGGGTTTCGTCTGTAACATGGAAGATTCTTTGCTTGGGTTGGAAGTTTCCTCAAGGCTGCATAATCCCATACAGGTTTGGTCAAACTGACGTTACCCTCGCCGTCTCTTTGTGGGACACACATCAAACTTGAATGTTCTGATTAGTAACTGGGAAGTTTCATCTAAATGACTTATTCTATATGTATATGTCTGTATTCGTTCAATCTTAACAGGCAAACATCTATACTATCGGGGTTCACGCTAGTTCGCTCTTGAACAGGTTGTCGAGACCTTGCCTCTTCTACTGTCTCTAGTGCAATCCGTGTATCAATGTTCAACACCAGGCTTCTGCGGCCGCTTCGCAAGCAGCGTGAAACGTCTCCCAGCCATCACTTGCCGTCAATGGAGGTATATGCACCAAGTCTGCACAAGCGCAAATCATTGAGCCAAAGTTAAACAAATGCTACAGCATGTCACACACACAAAACAAAATCCTATCCTTTGCATCGTCAATTGTAGCCAAGGGACACATGCCAAGAGGCATCCTATCGTCGAAACGTTGGAGGCTCTGGCCAAAAAGTTTGGCACCAAAAGACAGACCAGGCGATGGCAGTTACGCTGCCCCGCTTGGGTCATTGGAGATGCGTGGAACTCCTCGTGAAGCGGTTCGCGCCTTGGCGAGGCAGCCTTGACATCGTTTACCCATAACTTGTTGTGCGTGAAGTCCGCGACTGCTTTTTGCTCATATCGATGACCTCCTCCAACCAAAATTGCAGGACGCCGATCTCCTGGCAAGAGCTTAAATGTGAAATGAAGCAAGATCACGCACAAGCCCGAACGGCCTTCTCTGCGGTCATTGCATTCATGTCGGCTTTCAAGCCAGCATAGAGCCATTGGATGTCCGTTGGGGGTACCCTCTGGTAATTTGTTGCAGTTTGCGAACTGGTTAAGCCATCACCCCTGGAAAAATCGGAAAGTCATGAGGGATTTTCCTTCGAAAAGTGCCAATCAGCCAGATACCCTGCAAAATAAGAACAATTCTTAGCTGGTGAACGCAGATAATCCTATGCCAAAAGACTATTTTGGATTAGTTTCTACCCATCTAAGATTGACCTAGTTCCTTTTTAGGTCATGGAAATGCAAAAATCTGAACCAAATCAGTGACCTAAACAGAAACGCTCAAGAGCTTCCTTACTGCCGATCTTGGATGGCCTGCAAAAAATATGAAGCTTTTTGCTGGATGGTATCTGTTTGTACATATATATATATATATGTATATATATATATGTATATATATATATGTATATATATATGTATATATATATGTATATGTATATATATATATATGTGTATGTATATATATATGTATATATATATGTATATATATATACTGTCTATACACGTATACCCATTTACAGCAAGAGACTATAGTAGTTGGTACTATTTGGTAGCTAAGGTTTGACCAGCTATCACTCTTGATCCTCCAAGTATGGTCATTAGAATGATTACACTCTGATTACAGCTTCTATCCCCACCCTTAAAACGATTAAACATCTCCATTTTAAAGAAAAACCAAACGTCAAACGCCAAGTGAGAGTAAGTGTCTTAAGTGGGATGATCGCACATATATATATATACGGTAACTACATTTACATATACGGATTTTCAAATATACGAATAGGTATTTTAGACTACCTCCGGGAAAGTTTTCCTTGGACCGCCCAGCCATTTAAACATACGGAATCCGATTCATTTAAACATACTGCAACTACATTTAAATATACGAACTGGTATTTCATACTACCTCCGGGGCCTTGCCGTCTGGCCCGCCCTCTACATATTTAAATGTCGTTACCGTATATATAACTGGTTTAGATATAACCATATTTATTAACCAGTAAGTGAGATTGTCCTCCAAGAAAAAAACCTCTGCATCAAAGTTTCCAAGCAAAGAGTGCTCCACTGACTTCGAATTTGACCTGGCTGCTGACAATTGGCAACCCTTCCGAAAAAATATTGTTTGAGGCCCATTCAAACCGGGCCGTGGATGAAAACACCCTGGTATCGACTGATGAAAGTATAGTAAACCCCCCCAAAAAAAATGATGAAACATAACGGTATATCCAAATATATTCCAATATGTTCCATCTATTTGCGTAGGATTTTACTGTTCAACCTCTTTGGGGGCGGTCAAAATTGGGGATTGCGGGAAAGCGCTGGGAAAGTTAGATAATATGTACATGGAAATAGATAATACACATATAATATAGTATAACTATGGTTTAGATACTAATATTTAATTATAGTATACTAATAGATAGCTATTTCATGGTATATTATCTATTTCTATGGGCCATCTATACCATAGCAAACTGCTAACATATAGATATATCATATCTATCGGCCATCGTCTGTGATAGATTAAACCTATAAGTTATACCATTGTTAATAGGTATATCATCTATATCTATATCTATGGGCCATCTATATCTATACCAGGGGGCATTCATCTTTTCTCTGTGACCCAGCTGAACCACAAAACACAACCACTGGATGCTGGTCAGTCATCTTCATTTGGCTAAACCCAATGCCATTAATTAATCGTTTGAAATGCTACGGGTTCTTCTTGTACTCCCCAAAAAGCTCGAATTTGGTGAATTGGGTGTGTTACTGAACTCATCACATGTCTTATTTACATACAATATCATACCTACATGTACGTATAAGTATATATACATATGTATGTATGCCTAACCATACCATATTCTAAGCACTGTTCTTTTGTTCTTGGCCTTACCACCTTGTTCTCCCAGCCAAATGAATGTGTCATAGGGTATAGCTGCAAACTGGACTTGATATGCTTTAAAAAATACGTAAAATGATGATGAACCAGCAGATTACGAGATGTTCCCCTAAATGTGCCTATACTTTCCCGTACATGCTCATATACGTTTCCCATGTCTATATTGTTGTTCATATATGTTCCCATATGTTCCCATCATTTCTCATTATTTATCAACTGTTTTCATATGTTCAATATGTTCCCTGTTCCTGTATATGTTCATATCTCCCAGAATTTCACTACCCTCTGGTAAACTAACATAACTATGGAAAATCACCATTTTTAATGGGAAAATCCACTATAAATAGCCATTTTCCCATCATCTTCCCATCATCTTCCCATCGTTTCCCAGCCGCGCCTGCGCTGTGTAGCAGATAACGCTGCTCCGTGTTCTCCAACCTCGGTGCGTTCGGTTTGAAAAACGCAACGCATGGAAGTCATCAATGGACAATGTAGATATATAAGCCTGATCGATGAATATATGTATAATATATGTATAATATATGTATAATATATGTATGTATAATATATGTATAATATATGTATAATATATGTATAATATATGTATAATATATGTATAATATATGTATGTATAATATATGTATAATATATGTATAATATATGTATAATATATGTATAATATATGTATAATATATGTATAATATATGTATAATATATGTATAATATATGTATAATATATGTATAATATATGTATAATATATGTATAATATATGTAGAATATATGTAGAATATATGTAGAATATATGTAGAATATATGTATAATATATGTATAATATATGTATAATATATGTATAATATATGTATAGTATATGTATAATATATGTATAATATATGTACCAGTAGTACCCGCACGAGGCGGGGCGGAAGTTGCCTTAAAGATATATATATATAAGACCTTTCTCATCTATAGAACTTGCATGCGCCGTGCGCCAGCCAAGCCCGTGCGTGCGTGCACTCTGCGAAACTGATGTCGTGTTTCACATGTCACACTTGAAGCCCCACGTCACACTTCACACTTGACAGTCTTCACACTTCACACCGCACCCTTCGCAGTCAACACTTCACACTTCTCACTGTTCACACTGCACTCTCCCCAATCCACACTTCACACTGCACTCTTCACGCCCCACACTTCACACTTTACTCTTCACACTCTACACTTCATCTCATCTGAGCTCTTCTCGGCGCTTCTGCACGTCAGCAAGGTTGAGGGTAACTCATGTTGATTCTTCTACAGGCCAAAAGGCGTAGACCATAAAATATTTACAATATTGAGGTCATTAATGCCAAGCGTTGATGCATTGCATCAAATCGCAACGGCAAGTGTGAACATGGTGTAGTTGTTACCTGTCAAGGAGATTCACGCAGTCCAAGCTCGACAGCTGCTTTTTTCTCTGCGCTACACTTGGTCGTCTAGGCTTTTGGCAGCTTTTCGGCCCGCACTGGCACGAAAGGCTGGAGAGCTTATCACGTTGGAAGCCTGGTTGGCCGTCATGGCACTTCACGAAGCAAATCAGGCAAGAAGTTCTCACTATCCGCAATGACATTGCGGACCCAAGCTGCATCTGCTTGCGACAAACGACATCCTGCACCTGCTCGGTAAGCACTCAACAACATGGCCGCAGCGTGCACACCATCATCTGTCAGGGCAACGCAGCGCTGTTCTGCCAAGGTATCGTCTTGTTCCGTGCAAACAGTTGTCAAGGCTTCGAAACAACCAGCGCAGAGCCCATATTTGAAGTAACCCAAACCAATAGTCCTGCGCTCCTCGGTTGGGATACTTCGTCTGCACGCGAAGCATAGTGAATTTTGCAACGCGTTGTAGACGTGCAATGCAATCTTCAAGCTATGCTTGAGAGCGGCCATTTCTTCGAAGCCAATGTCAATCCTCAAGTTTTGCGACTCCAAATTTCCTTCCTACAATGCATGTTTTACAAAAAATATCTAGAAGCAATCCACGTATCACATGCTAGCCAGCATCCATGCAAGGCCAAAAACATCTAAAATAAATTCACACTCCATTCGCTGTTTCCCCTATGTCAGCTAAATTCTTCTTGGCTACTTTCATTTCGAGTAATTCCCAGTAGTGTATCTACTACAAAAGCTTGCAAAAACCACTTCCCAGTACTACTTTGTACTACACAGCTTGCACAAAACACGTTCCAGGACTACTTTGTACTATAAAGCTTGCACGAAACACTTCCAAGTACTACTTTGTACTACAAAGCTTGCACAAAGCACTTCCCAGTACCACTTTGTACTACAGAGCTTGCAGAAACTACTTCCCAGTACTACTATGTACTACAAAGCTTGCACAAAGCACTTCCCAGTACTACTTTGTACTACGAAGCTTGCACAAACAAAGCACGTCCCAATACTACTTTGTACTTCTAAGCTTACACAAAGGCGTCGGAAATTGCGGCTCCAAACCCGGATCTCGACGCCAAAGCGACAAAAAGACGATTTTGAAGCACTTTTTAAAAGGAATTTTAAAAGGAAAATTATTAGCGCCAAAATTGAGAAAATCTGCTGACAATTCACTTTCGCAGCCTTGATGCAGCCATTCCAATACGATTTACGATCTTCAGCTGCAAAAGACAATAGTATTACGCATGCAGCCGCAGCACCGAGCAACCTTGACGCACCCACTACAATGCGATCTGCAGAGACTGAGTTGGAAAACACAAAAGAACTGCCCGCAACGGTGTCGGAAATTGCAGCTCCAAAACCGGATCTCGACGCCAAAGCGACAAAAAGACGATTTTGAAGCACTTTTTAAAAGGAATTTTAAAAGGAAAATTATTAGCGCCAAAATTGAGAAAATCTGCTGACAATTCACTTTCGCAGCCTTGATGCAGCCATTCCAATACGATTTACGATCTTCAGCTGCAAAAGACAATAGTATTACGCATGCAGCCGTAGCACCGAGCAACCTTGACGCAGCCACTACAATGCGTTTCGCAGCATCCCGTGGCAAACCTACACCTATCTACGCACGTGGCAACACCAAATGACAACAATCATGCAGCCATTCCAATGCGATCATGCAACCAGAGATTTCCCTTCGTCACCACTTCCCTTCGTCACCACTTCCCTCCGTCACCACTTCCCATCGTCACCACTTCCCTTCGTCACCACTTCCCATCGTCACCACTTCCCTTCGTCACCACTTCCCTTCGTCACCACTTCCCATCGTCACCACTTCCCTTCGTCACCACTTCCCTTCGTCACCACTTTCCTTCGTCACCACTTCCCTTCGTCACCACTTCCCTTCGTCACCCTTCATGTACTCTCACACCACCCTTCATGTAAAGTCTCACACCACCCTTCATCAAGGTCAAGTCTCAATGTGATGTATTGTTATGTCATGTAAAGTCTCACACCACCCTTCATCAAGGTCAAGTCTCAATATCATGTATTGTTATGTCATGTAAAGTCTCACACCACCCTTCATCAAGGTCAAGTCTCAATCGCGCACCACCCTTCATCATTTCAAGTCTCAGAATTCTATTTGTCCGTAACACGGAAGTATTGCTTCCCAACTTCCTTTGATAATATATGTAAAATATATGTATAATATATGTATAATATGTATAATATATGTTTAATATATGTATGATATATGTCTAATATATGTATAATATATGTATAATATATGTATAATATATGTATAATATATGTAAAATATATGTATAATATATGTATAATATATGTATAATATATGTATAATATATGTATAATATATGTATAGTGTTTGAAACCACCAAGCAGTTATAGATGAATGCCATTCTAGATAATGTACCAGTAGATATATAGTGTCATAGATGAATACCATGAAAAACATTGGCATAATTCTACTCACCGGTTTATGATGCTATGCGAAAGTTCGGGGAAAAAAAGGCTGAATCATTCAGTCATTCAGCAACCTGAACTGCACTTTCAAGTGGGGAATCCAATCTTTTTTCATGGGATAATACGAGGAGTTCATCTATAAATGGACAAGAATGTGGGTGTTTTTTAATGTGGGTTTATAATGGGATGTATCATGGTATGGTATTTCAAGCGGGGAACATCCCTGGGAAGATCATCTTAGTGAAATCTATCCACTTAGTTCATTGGAACTGCACTTCCAAGTGGCTGTATATCCGAAACAAAATATGCATATAGTGTGTGTGTGTAAATATATATATATATATATATGCGTAACATTAATATCATATATATATATTATACACGTTTAACATATGTTTGCTGTTATGTGTATATATTTGTTTTTGTCCTATAGTTGTCTCTCTTCGGTTTCCATGTGACTACACTCGGGTGAAAGACACTACCGTTTCAACTATCATCCCAGAGCTGGTCGCTGCAGATGGGTGGCAAAGAAATCCTCAGAATGGCCAGTGGCAACGATGATTTTCCCCACCGAAATCATCCCAGCCTCCACCAAAATCACCGCAAAATTTCCTAAACAAATAGGGATTTTCCCATTGAAATCGTTGAGAAAATCACGCCACATCCCAGCCTCCCCCCATGGCATTTTTTTGCCGCCGTCGGATCTGTCGATCTGTCGGGTCGGTCGATTCTGCAAAGCGGTTCAGACATGGAAGATGTTCACGCCCAAATTCAGCACATGGTTTTCCTGACTTGGACAATGACCCCACTTAGTAAGTGGCTAATAGCCAGGTATAACTGGTATAACCCATTTATCGATGAGTTAAACCACGAAAGTATAGGACTGTCAACGATTTTGGCCTCCGGTAATCAAATGTTACATGGTTTGCTGTAAAAAAAAACTACCATTTAGTTCAATGGTTTTCCCAGCTACAATCTCCATTTTGATCGGGGATTTCCACGCAATCGCCAAGTTCGAGAGAAAACATGATCGAGTAATGATTTCCATACCTCACTTTAGTTCGATGAATTTCCGATCATAAAACCGATCATCAAAGCTCCATATCTGATCCCTGATTTCTCAGCCAAGTTTCCATCTCCAGCACCTTCGCCTTCCATCGCCGCCGCACCTTTTTTGGGGGGGCAGGATCTTCCATCACCCACGTCATCAATAGCCAGAACCTGGCAGTTTCCCCTGGCGGTGTTCCAGGTGGCGGGATTTCACCATAGTTTTAAATACTATATCATAACTTATGAAAATACTCAGCATTTTTTAACAAAAAAAGTTATATATATATATATACATATATATATATATACAGATGATGAATGGGGATTCAGCCACTCCTCTGAACAAAAAACGCAAGCTGGAAATATCCAAAAACAAATAGAAAAATCAAATTCACATGTCTTTTGATCATCATAATATAATAGTAATGATCATCATCATCATCATCATCATAATCTGAATGATCATTAGCAACCAGCCCCGTTTTCGGAAAAAAATAATCAACTGTCTCCTGGTGGGTTTTAATCAAAAAACCACCTGGATTTTGGGAGACACACCCTCAGGTAGTTCTTTTTCCCAATAAAACATACCATCTGGTTACTTGACATAGCCATGGAAAATCACCATTTATAATGGGTAAATCCACTATAAATGGCCATTTTCCATAGCTATGTAACAAATTACCAGAGGGTATGAAAAATACAAAAAAAATAACTGTCGAGAAACATCTAACAAGGAGAAGGAACAGAGTACCCAGCCATCTTTTAACATGGCTAAGAGATATTTAAAAATAAAAATAAAAAAAATCAGCCATATGTTGTGTTAGGAATGCATCAGTTTGAAAACTGATCATATGATTGTGCGTATCGACCATTTCATCACCATCATCATCATAATAGTAATGATCATCATCATCATCATGATTCTTAGTATAATTGGTGTCATGTTTGTTCCTTATTGTCATGGTTGTCACCGCCATCATCATTATTGACACTATTGTAATCATCACTAAACATTAGTCATTAGTCAAAACCATAATCATCCCATGATAATTCAATTCTGAACACCAGTTTGATTCATGATTGATTGTTCTTTTGATTGTTATCATTGAACATTACAAACATCATTCAACATTATAACAGACATGAATTGACTAATCCACCTCACCGTTTGTTGACCATAATCCAATAATAACCAAATTCTATGTTCATTTCATGGGCTGGTTCAAACAGTCCGTTGAACGACCATGACCAATTCAATTGACAACTCCCCTTTTTTCATGGCTAAAACTCCAAGTTTCCTGGTTAAATTCCCATGTTTCACCATATGTATCCTCATAAATCCGAAGTATCATCATTACATCTCTAGGTGTCATAAAATGAAATCCCCATCAGGATAAGAAATCTCCATGTTTCACCACGTTTCACCATGGTTGAAAAACCATGGCGATTTCCAGCTGAAAGCTCCATCATAAAGTGGTTGGAAAAGCCAGTGGTTCCCTGTGTTCAGGATGGAAATTCCTGTGAAGTCACCATAATACTTGTACCACCAATCATCCGCATTATCATCTATATATATATATATTGATAGTTACAAGGTGGTGCCCCCGTTCGATAGCTAAGTTGGTGCAATACCTCCAACTTCACTATGGTTTATAGGTTCTAGTTAATGGGCTTATAACCAATTTCTAACTGGGGGGGGCACCATCTTGTGAATGATGAGTCCGAACATATGACCCCCATATCAATTGCATCGTTCTTATGATCCCAAATTGTTATCCCATATTTTTATAATCCCATATTATCATCATTATATCATGAAAATTGGATACAGTATAACTCCAAAATTCCATGGAACGGTACATATCAATTAATAGTATCTTTAATAATCAATAGTTATATATAATGCTAATTGTGAGTTATATTATCAATAGTTCTATCATCAATAGTTATATTATCAACAGTTATATATCTATTTATTATCAATAGTTATATATCAACACAAACAAAAAAAACATTATCCTGATCCCAAATGATGATCCCACGACACGCTAGTTTTCCGTTGCAGTCATCGGGGTTGGAAGATTAGTTTCAACTCAAAAATTGCTATTGTTGGGGGTCAAACTGATTATTTTTAACCAGAGGGCAACTATAGATATATCATGATATATCATAAAACCAAGTTACTGGAGTATCAAGCCGGTTGCCTGTTGCCAAAATAAACATTGTGACTCCAAGATGAGTTTGCTCCATAAAACCAAGATGTATCATAAGACTCATGATCATTATCTCCCAAAATAAATGATATATCGCAAATGTTATACATAAATGTATAATATGATATATATATATATATCATCACAAATAAACAATAAACATCATGATGATCCCGAATGATTATCCCATTCTAATATATTATCGTTATCATTCTCACCATGAAAATCCCGTTAGATCCCTTTCAATCCCAGTAAAATCCCATTCAATCCCATTAAATCCCATTAATAAATCTACAATATATATATATATGTGTATATGTGTGTTTATTTATATAAATCCCAAGTCATTCCATGTAACTATCAAAATATCCCGTTCAATCCCAGTAAAATCCCTATAGCATCGTTATCATTATCTCATAATCATTATCCCCAAAAATATTGCTAACTGTTTCAACTCAAAAATGGTTATTGTTGGGGTCAAGCTGCTAAATTTACCGGAGAGTAACTATAGATACATCATAAAACATCATAAAACCAAGTTACTGGAGTCGTGAGCCAACTTATTATCATTATCTCCGGAGAATATAGAAGGTTAAACCCATCATTGATGAGGACATGTCCATGAATATCGTTTTTTTACCATGGCTAAACCATGGTGAAACCCATCATTATCTCCTTTTCGGTCCTAGAAATCTCATATCCCCATGTTCTAAATTCCATCAAAATCCCTATTGATGGTTAAGTCCCCCGGTGAAGAAACCCCCAGTAGATCTCCCAAAATCCCAGCTACTGGAGTAATAGGCCAACTCAATCCAACTATCCTCTGGTAAACGTTTACATAGCTATGGACCTACGGAAAAAATCACCATCTTTAAGTTTGGTAAATCAATTATTTCTATGGGCCATTTTCCAGTTCGCAAACTGTAACAAATTACCAGAGGCTAATCCATATGAATCCTATTCTCAACATCAAAAAATATCTCCCGTGAATGGGCATCTACCCTCTGGTAATTTCACATAGCTATTGAAAATCACCATCTTCAATAGATAAGTCATCTATAAATGGGCCATGTTCAATAGCTATGTAACAAATTACCAGAGGGTATATTCCACTATATCCACATGATGCACCCATTTATAGATGATTTTCCAATATGTTCCCACTCGTTATCCGGGTATCCAATGGGTATCTAGTGGATATAATTAGGGAAATATCTTATTGGATACCCTTACAGTGTATTACACCCAAATTAGATCCATTAAGTAGCTAAATTTGGGGAGATATCCAATTAGGGAGATACTGTAACAGCTAATCTCTCCCCAAATTTTGCTGCCAGATATAGCACCTTTCTCCACCTCCACAGAGAACTTCCGGAAATCCTCCGCCAGGAACTCCTTGAGGCGTTCCTCAAAGACCTGCACCGTGTCCTCCTCATAGCCTTGGGGACAGCGGTGGATGGTCGTTTCACTGCCCGAAAAATGATGAAAAATGTCGGTGTTTACCATGGTTGTTCACCATCAACAGTCGTGTTTTTTCCATGTGGTTTCACAGTTTAAAATGATGATTTCATGATGAAAATGATGATTTCTTTAGCGAAGTTGCTTAGTGGCTCGACATGGTTCAGATGCTGATTCAACTTGTAAACTTTAAGCGACAAGGTCATGGCGATTTTTTTATGTTAGTGCAATAGGATCCACCATCCGCAATTGTACCATAGATGGGTGGTATTTTTACCATGAAAATATGGTGGGATTTTTGTCAGATCCAACAGGATGTCCCGTGGGATTGGTGGTCGGATATCGGAGAGAACGGACAGATATGAGCCACCACTCGTCAGTCATTAAGAAGTAACGCTTGATATGATTAATGATTACCTTATCTAAGTTCAAGATAGGTGCTTGATATCCAGCTATAAGATAGGTACGCTACGCTTGGTACGCTTGGTGCGCTTGGTACGGTACGCTTGGTGCGCTTGGTACGCTTGGTACGCTTTGGGTAGGTACGCTTGGTACGCTTAGTAAGGTACGTTTGGTACGCTTACCAACCGTACCGACCGTACCGACCGTACCAGTGAACCGTACATAACCGTACCACCGTACCGTACCAGATTAAGGGGGGGGTCAAGGGGGGGGCGTTTTGGATGTACCAATACTAAAGTAGTATTGGTACATCCAAAACGCCCCCACCTTGACCCCCCCCCTTAATCTGGTACGGTACGGTGGTACGGTTATGTACGGTTCACTGGTACGGTCGGTACGGTTGGTAAGCGTACCAAACGTACCTTACTAAGCGTACCAACCGTACCAACCGTACCGTACCACATGTACCAACCGTACCGTACCAAGAAAACCAAACCTACCAGCCGTACGTACCAGACATGTTTGGATCTTACTTAAGGCCTCTACCACCTATCTTGAACCTAGCTAATGATTACCAGTCATTTAAAAACCAGTATAATGATAAGTAGAATGAAACATGATATGATTTCGAGAATTTTATCAGACTGATTGGCTGGTGATCTAATGATTTTGTAGGACTTTCTCAACCTTCAAATAGTTTTCTCGCCACACAATGCTAGGAAAGTGATGAAACCAAGCCACCACTCTCCATCACTGCCGAACAAATGAAATAAGACAATATCTATATTCCCACAATATGTTTATTATATATTTTTCCAAGAGGCACAATGGAGCTGCACGCTGCGGCCTGTCTCAGGTTCAGTGAATTCAGAAAACAAATGCCCACCAGCTATCTTTGTACATAGTCAGCTCCAATGCTCTCACCGTATGCAGTGACGTGCATGCGTTTGCATGTGTCAATGAAAACTGCAGGTGGTTCAGGGGCTCCTTCAATGACCGGTCGGTCAGAGGTGGCCTGAAAAAGAGCATGAGCAACAGCCCTGCACATGGCTGGCGGGTATTCTTTCAACACAGCCGTGTTCCAGTTACCAGACTGATCCTTACCAATCGTGGCAGCCCTGGGGATATCACATCTGACCCTATTGGCATGGAGACACGTCAAAAGCTGAAGGAGAAGATGGGTAGGCTTGTGCGATTTCGCGCCCATCAATCCCTGGGAAAATCTAAGCAATTCAATGTTCGGGAGCTGCATGATGGCCTTGACGAGCGGGAGCCGCCAGATCGAAGCCGCATGAGGGAGATCTTCAGGCTCGGCAGGGTGTTCAACCATGCCATGACCGTCTGCCAGTGCCATTTCCAGGAGCGCCAAAAGCGTGAAGCCAAGCAGCGCATTCCCAACTTGAAGTTGCTCAAGCTCACGGATGGTGACGCTCTCCAGCCCCCAAAGATGCTGGATGTCACGAATGATGCGTGGTCCACATCTCTGCACCAGTCCAGGAAGCGCAGGCTTGCCATGTAAAGAGACCCCCCTGGCTCGAGACCAGGATTCGCACGGGGGCCCGGCGAGCATTGCAATGATGTAGCCGCTCCGGATGGAGGTCAACCAAAAATCGCAAGTATCAGCACGCATGGCATCGCCGTAGACGGGGTCGATCACGATATCAAGTGATACGATGTGCAACATGAAATGGGCCTGACTGCTCGCTAGCTGGTCCAAATAAAATTGTACATCTCCTCGTCTGCGTCTTCCAGAGTAGAGGTGCAAGATAACCCTGTGTCGTCCCAACGGTCGCGGGACTGCTGCAAGGGCTCCACGCTCCAAATATCGTCGCGCTTGATCGCAATGATCTTCCAGTGTGGTGAGATCAGCATCACTGCAGCATTCCACCATATCCTGCTGCAGAAAGGGCCAATTCTCAGGCTCAATCAGACTGTGCAAGGTCTTTTTGATCGTCTCCACGTCAATGGGCAGGATCGCGTTGTCCTCCTGGGTCAGCGTGTCCACGAGGAAGAGCAAAGTGCTTCGCAATCGTGTCCATGAAATAGCCCGATCAGAGATCAAATCAGCAGCGGAGACGAACAGGTCCGGGGCTGCGCTTGCGTCTGTGATCATGTCGATCAAATTGTCATACAGCTCACCATCAATGTCTGGTCTTTGCCTTCTTCTGGTTGCAGGAGGCATCGGGCCTTCGCACTGAATGGGAGGTAGTAGGCGGTCATGCAAATGTTCTCTTTCGGCATCATCAGTCGATCCGCATCCAGGAACCAGCGGACAGTTCATGTTGCGACCATCCAAGGTTTCTCTGCATCTGGCCGAATGACGTAGATGTCCCTTGAGCTTCTGCATCGTGTGAAAATGTTTCAAACAGCAAGGGCATGTGGGGTGATCGCATAGCATGCGTAGTCTGGATACTTGTCCATGTCTTTTGAAAAGATGCGCATCCTCCCCAGCTTTGCTCTTGCATCTCAACTTGCACTGCATACAACCAAATACCTCAGGGATCTGCGGCCGCTCCAAAACGGGTTGAAGATGCTCAGGCAGAAAACTCCAGAGGAGAGGTAGAGCACGACGATGAAGACCTTGAACGTGCAAAACCCGCTGACGTTGTTGTATGCTGTGTGCGCATGCTCTCTTCACCAGGTTTTTCCAGTACTTTGGACTGGTCTGGACGATCAGGAGCCACTGCGGGTAGTGCTCCCTCGGGTCTTACAAGTCGGATGTATGGCGAAGCTGATGCCACATCCAAATCATGTCATCTTCAAGGAGTTGGCGCCATGCACTGTCACGAGCCAGGAGCGTCCAGATGTCCTCGTGCTCTGCTTTGACCAGTGTGACAAAGTACCTCAACCTGGCTCGTCTCAAGAGCTCAGACGGGCTCGGGAGGTGCACTTTGGACAGGATCTCGGCGTCCGTGAAATGGTCATCCGCCTTGATTTGTGCAAGTCGTTTGTACAGCTTCATGACCGTCACGTGGAAGGTCTGCTGCGTCGCATTGTCCATAGCCACCCAAGAGTCAGCTCCATACAGAAATCTGGACAGGATAAGCATCTCAAAGAGCTCGATGCGCTTTGCAAAGGGAACCGAGCGATTGTGGAACAGGAGCTTCCTGTGCTTGGTGAATGCCTGATGTGCCATCGCTGCTCTCTGCTTCAGTTCCTGCCGTTGGTCTCCAGAGTGATGGCAGACTCCACCCAAGTGCTTGTACTTGGAGACAATGCGTAGTGCTTGTGTGGAGTGTTCGCAAACAATTGGGAGAACTCCATCGCTTTTCGGGCCATAGAACTGCGTCTTCAATTTGCGTGAGCCAGCACCTCTAAAGCTCAAAAGCAACTCCGTCTTCCCAGGAGACAGATTCGGCGAGAGGCAGTGAAAGGCGCAGAGGTCAATCAGAAAGCTACCCACATTGGCCATGATGTTGGGCAATCGCTCGCCTTGCTTCGTTTCCACGCAGATGGCGAGGTCGTCCATCCACGTCGGGCCCAAAAAATGTGCGATCTGATCCTTCTCAAAGCTGTGCCCAAATAGCGGAAGCTGATGATGTGCAGGGAGAGGTGGTAACCAGCCATGTGCCAGAAGATGCTTCTCGAGCTTGGCCAATACTGTGGTCCATGCATACCCGAACACAATGTCAGCGAAGCTATCGCCAGGGCGTGTCCCAAGGGACGTCCTGGAGACGTCACCTTGGTTACGCATCCAAAAATGAGTGGAGCGATGGATTGCAATGAAGCTCCTTTGAAAGGTCGGCGCCAAGCCGGCTTGTGCAATCGCAGGTGGTTCCTGGAGCAGCTCGTAGATGCGGTGCAAGGAGTCCTCCGGCATGCGAAGTTTTGCCATGATGTGAGCCAAGACCTCATCATTGACTTCACCACCTAGAGGAGCTTCTCGAAGGATGCGATAGAATGCCTCTGTCAGGTCCACAAACAAAACGCCTGTGGAGGCACCAGCATCTTTCGCTTGGCGGCAGAAAGCACGCGCTTGATGTAGTGCAAGTTGCACAGGAATGCCGCGTCTGCCTCCAGTCTGCTGTTGATGTAGGAAGGCCTCATAGACCGATGCGGTGCGCTGGCGAATAGCGCGATGCACTGCTTTGCCCAAGTGGTTGGACTTTCTCAACCTTCAAATAGTTTTCTCGCCACACAATGCTAGGAAAGTGATGAAACCAAGCCACCACTCTCCATCACTGCCGAACAAATGAAATAAGACAATATCTATATTCCCACAATATGTTTATTATATATATATATATGTATACGTATGCTTAATTGTCTTAAGATTAGTACTGCCCACTGACAATGCCCTTTTTTCAATCCACTTCTTGTTGGTTTTATTTGCAGCTCATCCAATCAGGCCACCCGAAAAACGGAGTTCTGAATGATTTATGCACATACTAATCATATTAAAAACTATGGTTTTAATATGGTTTTATATGGTTTAATATGGATAATAATAGGATAATAATGGGATAACTGGGATAACAATCACTGGTTGGTGGTTGAGCCCTCCCCCTCTGAAAAATCTGAGTTCGTCAGTTGGGATGAAATGAACTTCCCAACTGAATGGAAAAACAAAAGCCATGTTCCAAACCACCAACCAGACTAATATTTCATAGGATTTTTCATCACTGGCTCTCCACTTGGAAACTCAATTTTGCTGCGTCTAGTTGGGGGGAAAGAATTGCGGAAGTCGATGCGTGCGGCGTCCAGCTTGTGATTACAGATTTTCCCACCATGAAAACAAACAAAATTGACATGAAATAAATGATTGTTGAAAGCCAGCGTCCCATGCTAATTTATATTAAATTGCACTGACTTCTCTGACTTCCCGAATGCGCGGCTTCCCATGGTGATTTGTGTTTCAAAGAGACGGTGCACTGACTTTCCCGATTGGGTGTGGGGATTACTATCCATGGATCCAAGATCCAAAAAAACAACTCTTTCTCAAATGGGAAGATCTTTTTCCAATCCCATCTTCATCATATTCTATCTACTTCAGGACTATAGATATATACTGGTTGGTGGTATACCTACCCCTCTGAAAAATATGAGTTCGTCAAATGGGAGTATTATTCCCAATATATGGAAAAAAATGTTCCAAACCATCAATATTTCTATATATATATATGTATATATATATATCATTGACAATCCCTGGCGATCCAACCCAGGAACTCTCCACCAGATCCGCATTGTGCGAGCTCAACAGAGCATTCGGCAGCTGCCACAGCGGCGATGCCTCTGGCAGCGGTTCGCGCTCGAAGACGTCCAGAACGATGCCGCTGAAGCGATCGCTGTGCCGCAGCAGGGCGGCCTGGGCCGGGCTAGCAGCGCCGGGCTGGAAACGTAGGCGACCCAGAAATCCTACAGGATGGGGCCCCCGTAAACGAGTTCGCGTGAACCGTTGCCTCAAAAAAGTGGCTGAAATCGATTGGGTTAAAGTTTATGGTTATGGTAGATATAGGTATAGTTAATGTGGAAAAATAAACCAACTTATAACTGCGGGCAGTTACGATCCTTTGGTGCCATAGCAGAACCCAGTCACAAAGGGAGATGCCTGGATTCTTAACCATCTTAACCACCTGCGATTCCTGGGATGCACATACAAGCAGTATCATCTACAGTAAGCAATAACTGGTTGGTGGTATACCTACCCCTCTGAAAAATGATGGAGCTCGTCAGTTGGGATTATGAACTTCCCAACTTTTCATGGAAAGTCATAAAATTCCATGGTTCCAGTCACCACCAACCAAATAAATGGGGCTTTCAATCGGAATGGGTCAATAGATGTCAATAGCTAGTCCGGCGGGATGAGCACACTGCAGTAACAGCACAAGGACCATCACAGGTATCCCTTCTACCGGGCCCTATCCTTCACTATCCGCTGGCATCGTGAGAGGATCTAACTCAGAAAATGCTGATTGAAATTGGGGATTTACCAAACCAATGGTTTCACTCACAGTGGCTTAACCTAATAACAAAGGTTTTACATTGATGAAATCTCATGCTTATTGGTTCATATCCCGAATTTTGGTTGGTTCCATAAATTGTGTTTGGCATAATTTCAGCTGGTGGAATTCGAGTATCTTAGTTGGTTCGATCACTATTTTTGGTCGCTAAATCTGCCATCTGTTTTTTGCTGGTCAAATACCTACTCGTGGTCGTCAAAACCATCAAAATTCTCCAGAAAATCCCTCTGAAAGTGACCTCAAATCGCATATTTTCCTTGCTTCACTCACCATTTCAAACATAACTATGGAACATCGCAATTTTTAATGGGTATATCAACTATAAATGGCCATTTTCAAGAGCTATGTAACAAATTACCAGAGGGTATTCAGCCCAGTTTAGGTGCTTCATCCACGGTCCCCATCCATCGCGCACCTCATCCACCGCCTGGCCTCTCCCGAGGCTCAGAAAGACGCTGCCCTCCTTGGCGACTGAGAAGCAGGACTCGTCGCCTCGCAACGGCCATTCGAGGCACTAAAGATGTTTTAAACACAACCGCTAGTTACCATATATATATATATAGATAATGTGTTATACATATTAATCTAATGTGTTATACATATTAATCTAATGTGTTATACATATTAATCTAATGTGTATATATTATATATATGTATATATATAACAACTAAAACATGTTCTATATATATATATGCGTAATGTCTGTGTGCATATACTAATATTTATTGCATTGTACAAATGCCTATGGGTGATAAGCTTGATAACCAGCCCATGACCTTCGCTTGGAGGAGTTGTTGAATCCCACGAAGTCTCCAATGATTTAAGAGCTTGAAAAATGGTCCATTGATCTGGGGAAATTATAATACTTCACCAACCTGAATCTTGCGGCCAACTATTGGGATCATTTCCATTACCAACCATGATTATAGTGAGGGAGAACAGTGAGGTCGTTGTAATTTACCCAGATTTATGTCTGGTTTACCTGTTGAAACTTGTAATTATGTCGCAAAATATAAGAAATGTCCAGAGGCTGTGCCAGTATATTCAATATAGTCCCATGAAAATTAAATACCATCTTAAATCCCCTTAAATCCCATAAATTATACAAGGTGGTGACCCCCCCAGTTATAAGTTGGTTTAAAAATCATAGTATAGATATATCTACCATAAACCCTAGTGAAATTGGAGTTACAAACCAACTTAGCTAGCTATTCCATCCATAAATCACAATTTTAAATCATGTTAAATCATGTTAAACCACCATTTTCCCATGGTTTTGTGAACTGGGGCACCATCTAACTATGGGGCACCACCTTGTATATTCATGTATATTCCACTATTCAACACACTATTCAACATTGCTATATTACCAGTGAAACCTTGTCATCTACGGAGACCTTCTGCCACGGAAAACGTTGGCCGCGTCACAGTAGTGCTCCGTCTGGGGCGTCTTCGGCAAGGTGCAAACGATCTGAGCGATGGGGTGCAACCCGTGGATGGATGTACATGCCTACATTCATAAGTACATGATGCTCGATATGCGAACCGTCTTCAGATGGGTCACTTGCCATCTTTGCTTGCCAGGGCCTCCACTGTCAATTCACTTCCCAATTCCCACCCTTCCGGCAGCGGTAGTTCAAAATGTTGAAGAGCTGGATGGAAGAATTGTTGGATTGTCCCTCTCTGCAAACGAATTCCTCAAGTAGGTACCTGGACCCTGATGAATTAATAAATTGGTACAGAATGGTGTAGCGCATATGAGATGGTATCCCTTTTATTCTCGTGCCACGGCTGTCAGGACTAGTTGCAGCAAGTCTGTGCCGAATCCTGCCGCGTCCTTCTGCGAAGCAGTGGCGCACCAAGCATTGCATGCTTCGTGTCTTGAATTAAACCAACCATCACAGCCCGCTGTGAAGTGGTCAGTGGTTACCAGTAGCCTCGAGGGCCACGTCATGGCAAAAGTGCAGCGTCCATGGTATCTTCAATCCAACTGAGGACGCTTTGCACTCGCCCATAGACACCGGGATAGCCTTCCTCAGCACAGCCGTCACCCGTGGATGTCACACCCCTCAGCACGTAGCGGTCGCTCGCCATCGTGCCATCGGAGGTTTCAACTGTCTCTTTGCAAACTAATGGGCCTCCACTATCTCCTTGACATGCATCTGTGATCCCAGTTTTCGACCTGCCCGAGGCACAGAGCATGCTGCCAGTGATGGTACTATTGATGGCAGAGTAGTCCACCTGACAGATCTGGTTGGTCAATAGTGTCACTGAGGCCTCTTGCAGCAGTTTAGGTGTTGGACCCGAAAACACCAATCTTCCCCAGCCGGTGATGCTGCAGTTGGTGCCGCTGCGGTCCTGAGAATGCGGCAGGCATGCCACGCCGATGCACCGGTTGATGGGAACTTCTTTGTCCAGTTGCAACAGGGCAAAGTCGTAGTCGTACTGCGCATTGATCTGGTACAAGGGATGCGTGTAGACCTCTCTGACTCCCCTCACCACAGAGGTGTCATTCTCATCCACATCACGACGTTTCCAGGTGCCTGCGCCAATGCGCAGACTCCGGACCCCACAGCATCTGCGAATCACCGAGATGCAATGCGCTGCAGTCAACACCCACTCGCGGCCAATCAGCGTGCCTCCACAGAACTGCTCGGTGGCCGAACTCAAACTCACTTGCCATCTCCAAACACATTGGCCTGCATCATGGCCGTGAACGATCCGCTGTGTGGCGTGGGAAAGTCCCAGCACCCCACACTGTGTGTAGTCCGGCGCCCTGTCACCCCGCAGCTTCGCGGTGACTGGGACAAGAAACGCCAGAAATGTCGTGGCCACTCTCATAGTCCGCCCAAAGCCTTGCGCTTACGCGGCTTGAGACAAATTGGGGCCAAAATGGCTACGGATGGTATCCCTTTTCAAAAACCGTGGATGGGATGCCGTTCGCAACTGAGTTCCACTGAATGCACCCAGAATGGGTCATACCTCCACGTTACTGTTTTTGACCCGTCATTCTTCGAAGTTCTTCTAAGAACAGAATACACGGTGTGAAATAAATGGTGCCATCATTTCTCGAAAAGACTAGACATGCAGACTGCTACCACGTACACATGTCATATATATATGTGTGTGTAAATACACGTAAATAAATCTATATGACTATATGACATATTATCAAGATTTACTACGCATATATATATATATATATATCATATATATGTATCATATATATATATATCATATATATATATCATATATATATCATATATATATATATCATATGTGTCATTTATATCAAAAATAGATCATATATGTATCATATATATATATATATCACATATACATATATATATCATATATATATCATATATATATATCATATATATCATATATCATATATCATATAAATATATCATATATATCATATATATATATATATATATCATATATATATATATCGGATATAGATATATTATCTATATTATCTATATGATGTCATGTATCTATTTATATATATATACATACATACATACATACATACACATACATTGTTTCAACAGGAAGATTTTCAACCCCTGTCCACGAATCGCCCAGCCACGAAATCGCAACTTCGGAAGACTTCCCCTTTGGAATCGCAAAACTCAGCATCCGCTGCAAAGGGCGAATCTTGCACCGTCTGGGGGTTCCTGCTGAGCGGAGCACGGCGCTTCAAGTCGGTTTTTATCATCGGTGGTGCTGAGTTGAAGCGTTCGGGGACGGAAAATCACGTGCCATATCCAACCAAAATGGGGTTTTAACCACACAGAATGAGGATACTCAGGGCTTTTACCAACAAAGTCGTAGTATAACCAATGTTGCACCAACAGAATGGATGATAAAATGTCAACCTCATGGTGGGGAGAACTGCTTCATAACAAGCAGCAGCAAGTCCCAGAATCTAAAGGATAGCCCACTGCCAGCCCTGTTCACAGATTCCATGCGATGAGCATTTGAGTTCAAAGCCCTTTTTTACTGCGTTGAGAACGGGATTCTCCTAATGGGTTGTGAGATTCCCCATTCTATTTGTTAGTAGAATCCTCAAACTAATCATTGATCAAACATCATTTATCAGTTATATTCACTTGCATCCGCTTATTTTCATGGTTCAAACCCTATGGACCCCTTAAATAATCATCAACTACCATGTGGGAAGTCTAAGTAGCTCCAACTGGCCCCCCCGGTCTCTTGGCTTTGGGAATGCGAAACTTCACCCTTTTCATCCCACAACCGGTAGTCAACCTTCCCATTTCTGGTTTATCACCCCACTCACCACTTGACAAAAACTTCCTAAATAGGATGATCTTACCACAAGTTACCTTGATGGGATGATCCATGTGCACCTCCTTATGGTTTTTTTAATCATCAAGGTGCATTGGAATCGAAGGACCATGATGTTTGGTTTTAACCATGGCAAATGATGATCCTCCAATGCCACCCTCAATCCTTACTAAATGGTTGATACAAGGTGGTGCCCCATAGTTAGCTAAGTTGGTTTATAAACCATAGTAAGTATAGATATATCTACCATAAACCCTAGTTACTGGAGTTACTATGGTTTATAAACCAACTTATAACTGGGGGGCACCACCTTGTAATCATCAACCCCCACCTGCAATGTGCCACCAGTTTCATGCGCATGGCCCGGCACAGCATGGCCGTCTGCTGGGCAATGTTCCCGAAGCCAATGAAGCCCACACGCTTGCCACGCAAGCAGTTCATGGGGAAACCTGGGGCAAAAAACGGGAGGCTTCACTGGAGATATGTGGATATCATTAATGCTAGGGAAATATATATGTATATGTATATGATATACATATAATTTATATGGCTTAAATTGGATTTAGTTGTTTTAATTGCGAAAATGATCAATCATATGGATTCTATTGGGAATGTTATGAGAAGATCATGGGAATATTTATGGAATATTTCGTTTAACAGCTAAACCATCAATAAATGTTTGACACACCCAAGGGGTGACACCGCCGCCCAGGCCGGCACCTAGGAGGCACACTAAAAGAGCAAATTCATCGAATTCATCGCCCACTTTTTCCGTGTGCAAAAATAACTCCCAGAAACTCTTGGGTTTATGGTAGTTACCTATATTTACTATGGAAATATCTATATGTACTATGATATATATCATGATATATCTATATATCATGATATATCTATATTTACTATGGTTTAATTCACCATTTTCAATGGGTAAATCAACAAAAATTCTATGGCTTATGGTAGATATATCTATACAATGTGAGGCCCCCGTTCGATAGCTAAGTTGGTGCAAATAACTCCCATTTCACTATGGTTTATGGTACGCAAATAACGAACTAGTTACTGGGGCTTATAACTATAGTATTCATGGGGTAAACCAACAAACATGACTGGGGGGCCTTACCTTGTACCCACTGTTCATTTGTCACAGTTTGCTATGGAATTTACGAGATGGCCCATTGGTTGCGATGATTGCCAACAGCTGAAAATTGTTGAGGGTGGATCGGATATGTAGAACGTTTCGCAGAAATATGAAAAAAAAACCTATGGTAGAATCATATGGGTGATAGATAGATAGATCGATAGATAGATGGATAGATGGATAGATGAATACATGGATAGATGGGTAGATGGATAGATAGATCATTAGATAGATAGATAGATAGATAGATCATTAGATAGATCATTAGATAGATAGATAGATAGATGGATAGATGGGTAGATGGATAGATTAGATAGATTAGATAGATAGATAGATAGATAGATAGATAGATAGACAGATAGACAGATAGACAGATAGACAGATAGACAGATAGACAGATAGACAGATAGATAGATAGATAGATGGATGGATGGATAGATAGATGGATGGATGGAAAGATAGATAGATAGATGGATGGATAGATAGATGGATGGATGGATAGATAGATAGATGGATGGATAGATAGATAGATACTATAATATATATATATACCATATATATTAGATACTTTATATATTAGATACATATATATATACTATACATATATACTATAAATAAATATACATACTATATATAAATATAAAGTATATATATATAGCATGAATTTACTATATATATACACTATATATATACTAGGTATACTATATATACTATATATATACTATATATACACTATATATACACTATAATCTATATATAAATACTATATATATGTACTGTATACACTATATTTAAATACTATATATATACACTATATATATACTATTAATTATACACTATATATATATCATAAATACTGTATAAATGTGTACTATATATAAATATATCTTGTATATATATATACTAAATATATACTATATATATATGTAATATATATTTTCTATAAATACACTATATATATATTATACTATATATACTATATATACTCTATATATACTATATATACACTATATACACTATATACACTATATACACTATATATATACTCTATATATATATACTATATATACACTATATATACACTATATATACTCTATATCTATACTATACATTCTATATATACTATATATGTATACAGAAATCTCTCCCCACTCTCCCCACCGCCGCCCAGCAACGATCCCATTTTCTCATCTCTTTGTGTTGCTGGAGTTTTGGAAGCCTCGGTTGGGCAGCTTGAAAGAGAAGATTAATTTGGATATATAACCAACAAATATGATATGTTGGGTCTTTCTAAAATGTGGAATACACACAACGTTGTCATGTCAATGGCAAGTGGAAAATAACAACCTGGACATATTGTAGGTGCGGCAAAGGCTCAAGATTTTACACTTTTTTGGGGGACTTATATACAGTAATATACAATAATATTCTATCGAGGGTTGCTATACATTTCACTGCATTTTAGGTTCAGATTCCAATCCCAATCTTATCCCATACTACATCGACATGTACATGTCACACCATGTGTTCCCAACGCCAAGTTAGTTGAATCTCAGCCCCAAAACCCAAACACTAACATAGCAAAAACAATTAAAAAAAATAAAAAAATACTTTCAACAGGTAAGATTTCACGAGAGTATATTTCATCATGTTCATTCAAGTGTTTTATCCAATCATATTCCAATCTCATTCCAATCGTTGGGTTTACATCATCATTCCAGATGGATCCAGATGCTTTGGCATCCCAGCAAGTCAACAGACCCTCGCTATGGATACCCCGTGGGTATTTAACATAGCTCTGGAAAATCACCATTTTAAGACAAACAGGGGGTCGGAACAGAAACCCCAAAGAAGGGGAAACTAATCCGCCAAACCCTGTGCATTCAACCAAGCACCTTTTTGCTATTAAGGCACTTGAGCCATCGGGTCAACAGCATGTAACATTAAACCCAACCCAGGTAGTTGTTAGGGATGGTAGTTACATCTGTTTCTACCTAAGGCTATACTACATACTTAACGCATCTAAGTATGAGGTGCAAACTGTACACATTGAGGTGTATCTACTTGGAACTACGTTGGTACTAATAGCTACGGCATGCCTACATAAGACCTACTACCTATGCTATACATAGTGGGGCTCAGGGGTCGGTATATTTCAACTCCCCCCTCGCCTGTTCCACACGCACTGCGCATTGGCAGTATCCTAAGCAGCTACTGTCGCGTGAACGGACGTTCACAGCGACCTAGGCTTTGGATTTAAGGTCTAAGGGAAGGTCAGTACGTATTCCTAGAAGGATTAGTGCTGCTGCCCATTTGTGTGGAGGCAATGCCTTGGTGAATATGTCTGCCGCCTGGTCATCGGTGTGAGTGTACTCTATCTCGGCAGAGTCATCTCTGAAGACTTCAGACAGGCAAGACAAATTAACTTTGTGTGTTCTAGTTATATGGCGAAGCTTGGGACTATATCCTTTCTTCACAACTAGGATTGTTGCTTGGTTATCTTCGTGGACCCTAAGGGTTACGGAGCGTGCAAGCAACAGCTCCCATAACTGTAAGGCAGGCAAGCCTTCTTGATAAAGCGAATGGGCTAAACTAACAACCTCCCTTTCCGTGGTCGATCTAGAAGTGGATGTTTGGCGCTTGCTAATCCATGCAAGTGGGAAGAAGGAACTAGGGCCAGTTAAAGCCAGAAAGCCGCCAGAGGTTGAGCGTGCAGTTGATCTGTCGCCGGCGAAGTCGGCATCGACAAACAATCTGAGCTCTAGGTCTTCAGGCTTGTCCTGAATGGTACCTACTAACCTCTCGTGTGGGGTTGAGGCTATGTACTGGATTAATCTTAGGACCTTCTTGTCATCCCCCCTGGACCACGACTGGACCTTTGTGGCCAGATCATTGATAGGCTTGATGATATCGGGACGTGCAAGTCTACCTAACCAAAGGGCTTTCATCAAAATCTTACATGCATTTGGAGCTAGTTCCCCTTTAGTTTCATCATCTTCAATGGTGATGGATCCCTCAGGTGGAAATGGCGTAGCGGCATGCTTGAGTTTGGTGACACCAGTTATTGACTTATACAAATCTACGGCCTGCTGAGCGTAGTCTGCCATATCAAAAACCATGCCAGTTTGGGCTTGGAAGGCTGCACATTTTTCATGACCTTCGGTCTTGGGAAGTGGGGTGACAACATGATTGCGTCCAAGGATCCTATAGATGGGCTCTGGGGGTTCTATGTCAACCACAGAAGTTAACTTACTCCAGAATGCATCATGCTGGTCGGCGGGGCCAGCTAAAGTTAAATCGTCTACATAAGTTGACAGAAGTAACTTTGTATCTGGAAAGTAAAAGTTTCCTGGGTATTCTAGAACTTCCTGTCCACCAAGGTTCTTGATGATGACTTTCAGGTGTTGTTCCCACAGGCCTCCGGCATCAGGATGACCGTATAAGGCTTTAATTAAGAGGACTACGGGCTTAACAAACTGTTGTTTCCAATACTTAGGGCGGAGCTCCGGGGGAAGCTCAATCCAGGTTTTGTATTTGGAAGATAACAGTGCTTGGACGTAAGCTTTGACTGCATCTGCAGCCGTCGCGCGGTTACCCGGCAGCGACCCGTACGCCAGGCAGGCGTTTAGCCCTTGGACGGAGGTGGGGTTTGCGCCGAGTTCTTGGTAAACTGCGGCTGCACCATGCTCGTCCTTTGCGCAGTCTCCTCTGTACACGATGCGCCCCTTCATTTTGTGAAGGTGGTCTGCGAGCTCGTGGAATTTAATGGACGCGATGGTCATGAGTTGACCAAAGTGCACTGACACACCTGAAGCCTTAGCTTCTTTACGTACATCTTCCTTTTCGCGGACCGAGCTAAGATCCCATGTACCAGCCTTAACCAAACCATCGGCTTCGGCGCGAATTGCCTCAAGGGCCTTGGGGTTGGACAGCATCTCTGCACGGGATAAGAGCTTGGTGACCATTGCTTTGATCTCAGGCGTTGGCGCCTTTGGGTCTTCCAGGTGGAAGGCTTGGGCGATCAATTGTTCGTGGTCAAGAAGTTCTGTAACCAACCTATTAGCGGTGGGGTCTGATTCAACAGCTAGGGCTAAATCTTCAAAACCGGCTAATGGGGATACGTGCTTAAGGTGCTGCTCAATTTCCCTATGGGGTTGAGGTTCGCTAGTTGCCGGTCGGCAAGGCATAGCAGGAACGGACTGCTGGGCACATTTTGAAGGATACAAAGCTTGCGCAATTAAATTAGTCATTTGGGGCGGATACATTGCGGAGCGAGTGGTCTCAGCTCCCTCACATCTGGAATGAGGTTGCTGGCATCGACACCGCATATCTTGAAACGCCTCTACAATTCGGGGAGAAGTGGTCTTGAGTTTCCATGGCTTTTTGATGGGATAACCATTTCTGTCGGTTAAACCTACAGTACACCCTTCAAAACCAACGGTCATAAACTGGGGATGTTTCTCAAAGAATGCTACGACGTCAGGCCTTTTCCAGCCAGAGCAAGGTCTTGGCCATTCAAACGTTACAGTACCACCATGATTGAGAACCCTTTCAGCGCGTTTGGAAAAACTCTTAAACAACCGTTTGGACTCTTTGACCTGGTGGGCAAGCTTCCTCATGAATGCGGCGCCACCCTTCTTCCTATTGATGTACTGCCAAGGGGATCCGGATGTGCAAGGGATAGAGGCCCACATATGTGGAGGTGCAACCTTAGCGGCTTCATCTATCTGATAGTCTAGTTGCTCACATTGTGACTCACCTCCCAGGTCTATCCTATCCTTACAAAGTCTAACATGATTAATGCCATATTCTTGGTGAGTAAAACCCATCTGGGAGTCCTCAGAACAAGCAAATTCAAACATGGTTGACTTGGCATTGTGTCTGGAAGCTTTCTTGGCAGCTTTCCGGCTCTTACGATTATCGCGGTTAGTTGGCCTACCTACAGCGGGGCAACCAAAAACAGGCAGCGATTTTTGACATAGGTCGGAACATCGATTGGCAACTTGGGGAAGAATAGCTACACCAGAAACAGGAACGGCATGCTCAGGCAGAGCACTGGGTTCGGCTGACCCTGGAACCTCACCTCTTATGAAAATTTCATCGAAAAGTTCTTTATCCTCTGGGGAGAGGTGTGAGGGAATGGGGTCAGAGATCTCCACACCACGGAAGATGATGCCATGTGCTTCATCATCCTTGTCTTCCGCTTCTGTCTCACTTTCGGGTGGTGGAGCTTTCTTTTCCTTCTCAGCTTCTTTTTCTTTTTCAACTAACATTGAGAAGCGGGCTCTACACTCTTCAGTGTGCGCGCGTGAATGGCCAGTGCAGCCTTTGCAACCAGGGGTCTCTTTCCACTTAAGGATACGGTCTACGGTTATATAAACAGAACGACTTTTGAGACCTGGTGTAGAGGGTGAGGCTATTCCGCCCTCCTTGGGGAAGGGCACATCCTGTAAGGCATATTCAGGCAACTTAAGATCATCTGGGTTATCCCCCCTGATGAGAGCTTGGTGGCGTGAAAAACCTACTGGAAAAACAGGATCACCTTCAGGAACAAAGATTTCTGCTTCTGGAACATCAACGGCTGAATTCCCACCTCTAGCGCGATACTCTTGATAATCTAGCACCCTAAGAACATTCCTATATCTGAAACCGGGATCAATCCTCCAACCCAAAAACAGACCAGGTGACATGTTGGGCTCCAAAGTCCTTTTGGTGGGTGACTTCCTACGGTAATACACTAACTGACCAAAGCATAACCTCATGCCATCAAACTTATTCCTAGTCAGCGACTCCCATTGGGTTTTGTCGGGGTCGGCTATTGAAGGCTTGTCGAATGACATTGAAAGGCAAGCATATGGATAGCTATATGTGTGATACTCATAGGGAAGGCCAGATTGGAGGTGAATAGTGCGACAACATTCCTTCTCCTCTCGAACATCTCTCTCGAGGATGGCATTGTGGGGCCATCTGTTCGGCAACGAGGTTTCTGGAAGCATGCCTACGGCATGTGCCGCCTGCTCAAGCTCGCCGGCTTCGTCCATTTTGATGAACGTTCGGGTGGTGAGATCTGATCCACGCAGTCCTAAGAAATGTCTAAAGTTGCGAGCATGCGCGTCAGCAGTACGTTTGGACAATGGGTATGCAACACGCGCACCAGAGTACGCATCGCGGATGACATGATGCGACCTTATTCCCCCTATACCTACACCCATGTGTTCG